AGCTCCCGGACGACAAGAGTCCTCTGCACCCACCGGGTCAGCTCCAACTCCAGAACCAGAAACTCCAGCTCCAGCCCCAGCTTCAACTCCAGCACCCCCAGAACCAGAAACTCCAGTGCCAACTCCAGCTCCAACTCCAGCTCCAACTCCAGCACCCCCAGAACCAGAAACCGGTACAGGAACAGGCGCCGCACCAACCTCTCGAGAGCTAGCACCAGCGGCACGCTGCGAGGAGGACTGTGGGGAGGGAGGCTGTACCGGAGGGGCTACCGAAGGAGGAGGGGTAGCCTGGGACACACCTGACGGGGCTGGACCAGGGGGGGGAGGCTGTACCGGGGGAGCAGGAGGGGGAACGGCAGTCAGGAAGAGGGGGGGAGGAGGAACCGGGAGACCTCGACTGGGGTACCTGACGTAGTACGGAGTGGACTCCTCGAAACGGACGTCACGGGAGTCAAAGAACCGGTGAGAGGGAGGGTGGTAAAAGGTGAAGTCAGAGGAGTCCTCAGGGAAACCAAGGAAGACACAGGGGACGGCACGAGGCGAGAGCTTGTCCGCGGAGGTGTCGCGGACAAGAGCCAAGCACCCCCAGACACGAAACCGTGACGCAACACCAGGGGACCCTGTCCAAAGACTGGTCGGTGAAACCTCTGGTCGAGAGACACGTGGCCAGAGGTTCAGCTGGTGCGCGGCGTACCTGACCGCGTAGGGCCACAGAAAATGGGGGGCACAGGCGTGAGTCAGGGAGGTGCGGGCGATCTCCATGACCAGGCCTATGCGGCGCTCAGCAACCCCATTCTGCTGTGGGGACTCTGGAAGCGTCCAGGACTGACGAATGCCCTGCTCGCGACAGAATCCAGCGAGAATGCCGGAGCGAAACTCACCCCCACGGTCGGAGTGGAGATAGCTGACACGACGACCACGAGTGTCCTCAGTGGTGAGCAACCACCTGATCAGCGTAGAAGTCACCTCAGACTTCTTCGCCAGAGGGAACACTGTGGTGTAGCGGGAGAAGTCGTCAACTACCACCAGAAAGTAACGCTCACGCTCAGGGCCTAGACGAGGGGCTGGGCCCCAGACGTCCAAGTGAAGCGTCTCAAAAGGCTCGGTGGCCGGACGAAGGGAGGAGGAGTGAGGGGTGGCGCGCAGCCTACCCTCGACGCAGGGACGACACGGCGGCGCAGGCGAAGGCGGCAGCGACGGCAAGACACGTGGGAGGCCTAGGACAAGACGCTGACTAGACATAGCGCGCAGACGTGGAAGGGACGGGTGCCCCATCCGGTGGTGCCACAGAACGGTGGGGTGGGCAAGCGACCGGCAGGAGCACGACGCAGCGACTGGAACAGACGTAGGAACCTGACACGACACAGACACCTGGGGGGACGTAGCAACCTGGTGAGACGCGGGGACCCGAACGGGGGGGGGAACCGGGGGCAGTGGCAGTAGGGGGGGCTGCTGGTGCGGCCGCTGGTACTGCTGCTGCTGCTGCTGCTGCTGCTGCTGCTGCTGCTGCTGCGGCTGCTGCTGCTGCTGCGGCTGCTGCTGCGGCGCACGCGGGCCAGTGTGAAGAGTGTAGAGACCCGAGCCCGGCTCAGCAGTAAAGGTAGCAAGAGGCTGGTAAGAGTCTCCGTCAACACACACGTGCTGACTCACGAGGGGTCGCACGCCCACCAAGTTCCGGGAGAACGAGGGGACGTGAAACCCAGTGAGAGACCCGGAGGGAGCAGCAGGACACGGTAAAGTGGTAGTGTGACGTGCAGTGACTGGTCCCGTAGTGGGATCAGCCAACGCTACAGAAACAGGCGCATGAAGTGGTGTAAGTGTCGTGCTGTCCCGAAAGAAGCAGTGGGAGGCTCCAGAGTCCAGTGTGAACGACAGCGAAGCGTCCTCTGAGGTAGTCGCTGGTCTAGAGTCTACACAAGTACCTACACTAGCAACAGGCAACTGAGCAAGACTAGCACCTAAGCTAACAACACCAGAGTAAACAGAGTCAGAAACACTAGAGTCAACAACAGCATACATAGCATGAGGAGCACTAATCAGATCAACTAACTGCTCAGCAGACATGCCCCACAGAGCGGAGCCGTGGCGCTGAACCAGAGGAAGCCAGTCAGGAGCAGGACCGCCAACCCCGTAGGTCAACCGGACCGTGTCAGTGAGCTGAGCAAAGCACTGACCAGGGGGGTGAAAGCGGCCACAAGGGTGGCCCCGACGAGGACCTGTCTGAACCTGGTAGGGGCAGGGAGGGTAAGCAGCACCGCGCTGAGGCTGACGCAGCCCCGACCCCGGAGCCAGCTGCTGACGCTGCTGCTGCTGAGGCTGCTGGGAGGAAAGGGGCTGCTGCTGCTGCTGAAGGTGCTGCTGACGCTGAGCCTGGTACCACGCCGCTGCTCCACCTAGCGGGGCCGGCAGTACAGGAGGCGACTGACGAGCTCGAGGGTCGCCGCCACCAGCAGGTGCAGTGGAGTCACCAGCCGCTGCACGAGGGGTCTCTCCAGACGCTGCACTCCCACCACCGCCAGTCGCAACAGCACCCCCACTACCTCCGCTACCTCCGCCTCCACCTCCACCGGAACCACCTTTCTTGCCCCCCCTGCCGCGGGACCGCGACGCAGTCGTAACAGCAGCCGCAGTCGCGTCAGTAGCGGCAGTGGCAAGAGAGGCAGTGAAGGTGGGTAACTGCGGGACTGTGCACCCGTGGAAGAGTGGGGGGGACACAGTACCAGAGGCGGCAGCTACCGAACGAAGGTTGCTCTCGACGTCCTTGAGTGCAGACTCAAGGACCTCGATAGTCAGCTCACTAGGGTGCTTCAGCAGAAGCGCGTCACGAACGGAGGCAAGGCGGTCAGGGAGGCTAGTGGCGATGAAATAGACAGTAATCGCCATGGGGGGAGGAAGCAGTGCAAGCTGTGCCTCAGTGCAAGCAGCGCGGTAACTAGCGTCGAGCGAGCGGAGGTGAGCGATCAAGTCAGCAGAGCGCTCAAACGAGGCAAGATCAGGAAACAGGAACGGGAGGAAAAGACGGCCGAGAGAGACAGTAGCGGGAGTAGAGTAGCGGGCCTTAATCGCAGTGAGGTACGCAGCAGCGGTGCGAACCTGAGTAAAGTGGACCTCCTCGGACTCAGGGAGGAGGTTGCTGAGTGCGATGCAGGCCGCAGCGTCACGCGACGTCCAAGCCGTCCGGTCAGCGCGCTGACGGGCAAAGCGAGCCGTAGCAGCGTCGTCAGGAGCAGGGCCTAAAGCGGTAGGCTCGGGGGGCTCGGGGAGGTCACCAGTAGCGTGTGACCAGAGGGTCTCGCCCCCCTGGACCTGACTCTCTAACAGACGACGAGCGCGAAGAAGCCAGACGGAAAAGTCAAGGGGTCTACCGTCAGCGTCGAAACGAAGAACTCGCGGAGTCGCCATAGTGAGAACCAACGCGAACGAACAGGCGAGTAACAACCGGGGGGGAAGAGGACTCAGTCGCAGCGGAAGAGCGGGCTAGGGCGACGGGCCAAAACGTAGGGTAGGGCAACGGGCCAGGGCCTAGGGTAGGGCGACGGGCCAGAGCCTAGGGAGGGCGACGGGCCAGGGCCTAGGGAGGGCGACGGGCTAGGGCCTAGGGAGGGCGACGCGACGGGGGAAAGGGCGGGAGCGACGCGACGGGGCAGGGCGACGCGACGGGACAGGGCGACGCGACGGGGCAGGGCGGCGCGACGGAGCAGGGCGACGGGACAGGGCAGGGCGACGCGACGGGGTAGGGCGACGCGACGGGACAGGGCGACGGGACGGGACGGGACGGGACAGGGCGACGCGACGGGACGGGACAGGGTGACACGACGGGACAGGGCGACGGGACAGGGCAGGGCGACGCGACGGGACAGGGGGGAACAGGCGGGCGCGACGCGACGGGGGGAACGGGCGCGACGCGACGGGGGGAACGGGCGCGACGCGACGGGGGGAACGGGCGCGACGCGACGGGGGGAACGGGCGCGACGCGACGGGGGAGATGATGCTAGGCTCGGTACTAGGCGCGGTAACAACTAAACTGGTACGAACGAGAGGTAGGATCAGGCTCGGGAGGTACGAACGGAGAACGGAGGAACGGGATCCCACAGGATCCTAACCCAGCTGATACCATGTCAAAATGAGGAATGGATGTTGCATTGATGTTGGTTGGGGTACATATGACAAACCCTAACTTCTGTACCCCCTAAGACAAACCTCACTACAGGCTACAACATTTGACAATATGTTTTTCAGAAGTTAAGTTTTCTCTGACAAATCACAGTAACGCTCGTAATGAACCCTGAATTTCAGAGTTCCCTAGAAAACAGCTCTGGAAATCCGAGTAGTGAAAATCTTAAAAAAAACCCTGCCTTAAGCGCACCCTGCAACATCGCATACAGCAGCAGCCGTTGTTCGCCCGTTACTGCTAACGGGACTTCGCCGACTTCGCGCGCACTGTTTTACCAAACCTTGCAATGTTGGCCCGGCCGTGTCGGCCTACGCTTCGAGACTAGCCCGAGCCTCGCTTCCAGCGTAGCACTAGCTAGCTCGCACACACCGCGTTACCGTTTGCATGTTTCGCGTATAAATGTTCGCTCATGCCTTCGCTCACATTTTGTACTCGTTTGACACCTTAGTGCAATTCTCGCTACTTCGATTCATTGCACCCGTAACAATGTTCCTTTTCCAAGTACCGTACTTAGTTTGATTCCAATCATTTCAGAATACAAGCTGCCCCCCCGCGTAAGCGTTCCCATGCTCCCGTACGCGTGTTGGGCACATGGAAAGGATGGATCCAGGTGTGTACTTCCACCAACTCGTCACAGGAACAAGGATGGGCATAGGTATGTTATTGGTGGGCTTTGCATTTATTACAAGTGACACAAGGAACAGAACTATATCAAATGACTACCTGAATGTTCATATTAAAGAGCAGAAACAAATGTCAGTAAAAAAGACAAGCCAAACAAGTCAATATTCTACGTGTATTTTTGCCTCAGTATCCTATTTTGAAATCACTGCTGAAGGGAAATGACCCGCATCAGCTTGCCCTTGCCCTGCTGCCCAGACTGGTTGGCAAACCGCCCGCTGATCTGCCCGTGGAGCTCATTGCGCTGCCGGGCCAGCGCTGCTCGCCGAGCCTGGAGGGTCTCAAATACAGCCTGCCGGTCGGGGAAGACATGTAGGTAATCAGTTCAGAGATCAGGAGAATCATTTGAGCATGATTCAGAGCTAATCAGTTTGAACGAGAGGGTGAGTGGGAGAGTGGGTAGGCACGAAGTATCAATGTGTTGGATATACAAGACATAAGAACCTGCACCTTCCTCCTCCACAGTCCCCACACCCATTCACTCCACCTTCCCTCCCCTTTTCTCACCCCTCACCCGTCGGGCCTTCGTCACCTGCATGCATGCACTCCATGAACTCATGGCTCCAGCGGGACAAGGCAAGCATCTCCCGTCACCCTAGGCCTTGCACCTCACACACCCATTCGCTCACATCACCTCTCTTTCTCCCCCCCCCCCTCACCTGCATTCTCTCCGCAACTCGCGCTCCAGGGGGTCAAACACCTCTGCCACCTTGGCCTCGGCTCTCACACACCCATTCATTCACAACACCACCAACCAAACCTGTTCCCTCCTTGCTGCACTGCACCCCTCTCCTCACCTGCATCCGCTCCTTGAACTTGCACTCCAGGGGGTCAAACACCTCCGCCACCTTGGCCTCGGCCATCGCACACCCACTCATCCACTCTTTTCCCCCTTCTTCCGCACCCTTCGTGCCACTCTCACCTGCATCCGCTCCTTGAACTCGCGCTCCAGGGGGTCAAGCACCTCGGCCACCTTGGCCTCGGCTGAGAAGGCCTGCGGCAGCAGCTCCGCAAAGCGCCTCAGCGTGCCCGCCTCCTCCTGGCATTGGAAAGAGGAGTTGACGAGAGCAAGTGCAGAGAACAAGAGGGGAAGGGCAGGGGGGGCAAAAGGGTCACAAGTGGTGAGAAGCAACCTTGAAGAAACTCTATCATCGCTCATTCACCTAATGAACTCATTCATTCTCAGACTGACATTTCAGCAACTCGCCTCGGGTGAAGGGAAGACAGAGCGGGCAAGTAGAGAGCACCTGCAACCCCCCTTGAGACTCTCACCTTGACCTTGACTGCGAGCTGCTGCATCATTTCGGGTGTGGGCTCGCTCTCAAAGTCGGTCACTGCCAGCAGAATCTGCAACCGCCGCTATCCCGGGTTAAAGGACGACAGAGAGGGCGCACAGAGGACAGAGAGGGCAGGGAAGAGGGTACAAACGGAAACAAGGTTAGACAAGACGGTCAGGCGTGTGTACGATGCAGCAGAAAGCTTATAGCGAGAGTACGATGTGCTGCAGCAGGGAAACCACAAGGCAGCAAGCAAAGCAGCAAGCGGCGGCAGCAGCAGCACCTTTTGGATGGAGGTGGCGGCGGCAGAGACAATCTCATGCGCGTCTCCCAGCACAGTCTGCAGCGCGTCCTTGGCTGCCGACGCTATCTGCTTCACATGCGATGCCTGTGCGTTCATGGATGGGGATGGAGAGGAAGATACAAGCAGACGTAAGGATACAAGAGGAGGGAGGGAGGAGGGAGGGCAGAAAGATGAAAAAACGGAGGAGGTAGACATGAGATGTTAGAACCCGCAGAAGACATCCAGCCACGAGCTGATGAAATCTCAAACGGCAGCTTTTGCATTCAGTTTTGTTCCCCTGCACATGTGTGCACCAAGGCACAGCACTGCACAGCACAGCACAGAACTGCACAGCACAGCACTGCACTGCACAGCACAGCACAGCACAGCATTGCACAGCACAGCACAGCACAGCACAGCACAGCACAGCACTGCACAGCACAGCACAGCACAGCACAGCACAGCACGCACCTGGGCAGCATGGCAGCCGCGGTAGAACCCCATCTCCTCCTGCAGCCCCGACATCTCCGCCCGCCACAGCGCCTCCACCTTGCGGCACCTCCCCACCACCTCCGCCACCCGCGCCTGCACCTCCCCCTCCCCTCCTCCCCCCATCCCTCCCCCCTCTCCCACGATCCCAGCAAGGCCTGCTGTCAGCAGCTGCTCCACAGAAGGGAGGTCTGCCACTCTCACTCCCTCCCTCCTCCTCCTCTCCCTCTCCCCCTCCAGCCTCTGCTGCACCTCCATCATCTCTCCCTCTCCCCCTCCTCCTCCTCCTCCCTCCTCCGCCCTGGCTACTGCTGCTGCCAGCATCAGGCTCTCCCCGGTCCCCACGCCGAATAGCTGCGCGCCAGCTGGCACGAGCGCCGCCAGCTCGGAGAGCGCGCGCGTCGTGTCGTACACGTCAACGATGGCGACACGGATCTCCTGCAGCACTGCGCTGGACGTCTGCAGGCGGCAGAGAGCGGGAGGAGAAGCGGCAGAGGGTGAGAATTCAATGGGGAAGGGACAACGTAGGGAAGAGAGTTGAGGGACAAGGGAGAAGGGACAGGTGCAGCAGACAGGAGAGAGGGGCAGCAGATAGAGAGGGTAGAGAGAGGGAGGAGGGGAAGCAGAGAGAAGAGTGCCAGGGAGAGTGTGGGGGAGGTCGAGTTCAGCAAGCAAAAGGGCGTAGAGTGGATACACTGCGCATGGTTGGTTGCAAAAATAAAACATTTCAGACAATCCTTCCTTGGTGTAGAATGGTTACACTGCGTAGAAATTTTGAAGGTATCCATTCATCGCACCTCGGCGGGCAGGCTGGGGAAGACGACATTATCGAGGAGCGACGAGAGCGCGAGCAGGCGCGGGTGCAGGTCCGCCAGCCGCCCCTCCAACTCGTGCACGCGCGCGTACTCCAGCAGCGGCGCGGACCCTGGGGGAGGAAGCGAGGGGAAAGCGTTGACAAACGGTGGAACTGGAAACATGAGGGGAGGAAGCGAGAGGGAGCCAGATGGAGGGGAGAGAGAAACGGGTAGGGGAAACGGGGTGGGTGTGTGGGGAGGGCGGCGCGCGCACCCTCGATGGAGCGGCAGAGGTTCGCCGCGATTCCCGCGACGGGGTCGCCGTCCTCATTGGTCACCATGAAGCGATTCCCCGCGCACGGCAGCTCCGGCGCGCCCATCGCCTTCATGCTTGTCTTCTCCGCTCCGCCGGCTCCTCCCCCTGCTTCCGCGTCCTCCGCCTTGCCCGCGCCTTCCTCCGCGGGCAGTTCGCCGATCTTTCCGCCCGGCGCGGGCAGCAGCATCAGAACCTTTTCGCGCGCTTCTTTGCTCCACATCGCGAGCTCCTCGAGCTTTTCCTTTGCGATCGCCACCTGTCCCGACGCCGCCAGCAGGCTGCCAAGTGTCGGCGCGGGAGTGGCTGCCGCGGCCGACGCGGCGAACGGGCTCCCCGCGGGAGTGCTCCCCGCGCGCGGCGTGCCCATAGGTGTGGAGACAGCAGAAGATGTTACTATAGAGGGGTCTAGCACCAGCGGCCCGTCTTTCATGCTCGCGCTGCGGCTTCCCGCAGAGGTCAAATCCATGCCGCCGTCTCCGTCATTCGCGGCGCCAGATGCGGCGGTCTTTTTTTCCGCAGTTTTATTGTTCGCGCCGTTCCGCTTCCCCGGGCCGACTCCCCACCCGCGCGCATTGAAGCTTCCGCCACCAGTCTTTCCCTTCCCAGCGCTGCCCGCCGCGCCCACCGTCGCACCACCGCGCCGTGCGCCCACCGTGGGCGACGCGCTCCCCTTTCCGGCGGAGGACGATGCGCGCGGGGTCGTGGCACGTGGCGAGCCGCTAGCGAAGGACGAGGTGCCGCGGCTGGTGGGAGTGCTGGGGCGGGCGGCGGAGGCGAGGGCGGCGGAGCCGCGTCCCCCGAACGAGTTCCGCCGCGTCAGCGGCTGCTGTGCCGCGCCGACCTTGCTCACCCCCTTCGCCACCGCCACCGCGGCTGCGCTTGCGCTCTCCTTCTCCTCCTGCGCCGCGGCGTGCTGCGCGTCGTCCAATAAGATAGCGGCAGCTGGCAGCAGTGTCTGGTCCAGAGTCCCCGCGTGCGAGTTCCCCATCTCCGTCCCGCCCGCGCCCTCCGCGGCTTCCGCTTCCGCCTGCTCGCCTTCCGCCTCGTCCTCCCCCGCGCGCACGTGCAGCGCGCCGACGGTGCGGTGAAGATGGTCCATTGCGCTCAGCAGCTCGTTGCGGATCGCCTTGGCGGTGAGCGACGCGGACTCGGAGGCTAGTAGCTGTGGAGGGGAGGGGGAGGGGGTACGCGGGGGTAAGGGGGAGGGGAAGCGCAGGGAAAAGGGGGGTGAAGATGGTCTACGGCGCTCAGCAGCTCGTTGCGAATGGCCTTCGTCGTGAGCGACGCAGACTCGGAGGCAAGCAGCTGTTGGGGGGAAGGGGGAAGGCGGAAAAAAGGTGGAGGCGGATAAATTGGGCTAGGCGGAAATAGGATGGAGGGGGGGAACTTGTGTTCATGGCGCTCAGCAGGCTGGTTGCGGAGGGGAACGATGGGGACGGACGGGGAGACACGTGGCGTGGGTTGCGAGAACCAGCGACGTTGCCTCGACGGAAATGCAGCTGTTAAAATGACCGACATCACCTCTCAAAAATGCAGAGCTCTAGAAGCGGCATTACCAATGCGTAAAGGCGGTATTAGCAATACACGCAATATATGGCTGACTCGAGCATGAGCTCACCTGGTGCTCTAGCTGCAGGTTTGACGACTTGAGCATTCGCACGCGATGGCGCGCCAAGTCGTCGCTGTCGTCCGCCTCCTGCGACACGTGCGACACGTGCGACGGGGATCACGGAAGGAAAAGGAGGGGACGGGATAAGTGACGGCGCGTCAAGTCGTGGCGGTAAGGAGGAAAGGGACGGAGAAGAGTTACGGGGAACCAAGCGTGGAGGACGTATAGGCGAGAGAATGGAGGGGAAACGAGATACGTGAACGCGCGGTGAGGTGGATGAAAGATAGCGAGAATATTGAAACGGACGACAGGAGGGATGAGACGGGGGCTCCACAGGTAGGCCTTCACCGCACTCCCTTCTCTCTCGAACACGAATAAACGCGTAGGTTGGCGCGTTTAACCAGGAGTATTATTGCATTCCCCTTCTTGTAAGGACTCTCCTGCATGCACTTGCACTCAGGACTCCCTCTATGCTCCCACTATGCCGCTACTCTTTCTCAACCCCCGTTACCTTGCGCTTCTACTCTTCCCCACGTCCTCCCCTATGTCCCCACCCATACCCCCCTCCCCCCCCCCCCCCCCTCCCCCCGACCTCCTTTCCGCGCACCTCTGCGTGAACGGCTTCCAGCATCGCGATCCTCTCCCGCAGCCGTCGATTCTCCTCTTGCAGCGCCTTCGTCTGCACGAACGCGCCGTTGGATGGACAGACAAGGAGTCAGCGCGTAAATCGGGGACGATCGCACGACATGCCATGTCGGAATGGAATGAGCATCGCGTTGGCGACCAGAAGCATCGGAAGACAAGACTCGCTTTTCGAGTCGACTCGGGAATTGGCGAGCGAAAGCATCGGGCTTGACTCACCACTTCTGATTGCTTCTGTTGAGGTTCGGCACGAGGCGATTGAAGGAGGAGGTTGGGCGTTGACAGGAAAATCAGGTTCGGCAGGTCACATGGTGGAGCACAGGAGGGAAGATTGACAGGACAGGGTTGAGAAACTTTTGCGAATTCTCATAAGTGAATCCAATAAGGACGGGAGTGGGTTCAGAGAGGAATGCGCGGGACTGGAACGAACAGAGAGCTAGTACGAAACACACGAGCGGAAAGAGGGCAGTCGGCGGGTCACAGATGCAACAACGAAGACAGATATCGGAGTCCGAAAAAGTACGGGAGAATGCGTGATAAGTACGGGAGAATGCGTGATAAGAGAATGCAGAGCGCAAGTACAAGAGAAATAAATGGAGTCAATGGACATTATGAAGACAAAATGCAATGCATGCTCACACGCAGCCCGCGTTACCTCTGAACCGTACGATCCCATGAAGGGCTGCAGCACGATGGGCATCGACGGCTGCTCGGATTGCTTGGAGAACTCATCATCGGACTGCCAGCAGAGGCCGAGGGAGGGAGAGCGGCACAGGCACGGGAGAACAGTCGGTGATTGAGATTGTGACGGGCAGAACGAGACAGAATGAGGTATGGCAGAAGGAGAATGCGTTGGCATCCACCGTCGACGTTTAAAGAGCTGCTTTGCACTGTCTCCGTCGCTTAGTATAGAGACGTCTCAAATCTGTTGCTATCTGCGTCATTTATCTCCGTAAAATGAGAAGTTTCCAAAATAAAACTTCTGTGGACCTAGCAGCACCATTCCTATTGTCGCCCCTCCTATATCTCAGTTCAGCTAGGTTGCGGTCTAGACTCGGCTGCGATTAAAGCCACCTGAAGGGGCGCCACGGAGGACTTTGACTTGGCCAGCGACCCGCCCTTTGCGCCCAGCGTCCTCCCGACGCGCGCCGCTGCGCGCCCGAGCGTCGATGCCACAGACGACCCCTTGCCCTTCTTCACCCCTCCGCCCGTGGATTGCGATCGGCGCGTCTTCCCCCCGGCGGATTTTTCGTCCTCGCCGGCTTTCGCGACGGTGAGCGGGTTACTCGGGTGCGTGGCGCCGAGGTGCGAGTACCGCCGGATGATGTTGCTGTAATCGGACGGCTTGAAATCCTCCGCCGCGTTGAGCATGGCGTTTGCGTGGATGGCGTCGTGAAATTCTTCCTCGTCGGCCGGCATAGGATGGCTTCCCGCCATATCTCCTGGCGTAGTACTACTTCTCGAGAAACGAAGCTGAGCTGTATACTTCGGCGTTTTCTTTCTGGTTTAGCTCTCTTAATAGGGAATGTGATATCAAGAAATGTTATGTATAGCCCTAATCGCAACCGCCAGAACCAGTGATCTAAGTCTTCAGATATCTTGACTTGGCAGCGGGTTCAAGAGTCGGAAGTCACAGATTGCAAGGATAGCTCAACCCTCGTTGATCTCGTGCAAAGGGGGATGATTGCAAAGCGAAGAACAAGCTTCGGAAAGTCAATGGGCGAATGTGGCGCAAAGCCAACGGATATTTGCTAAAGACGTAGTGGTTCTATGGGAAGGTTGTCCTCATCTGGTTCATACTGAATGGGAAGAGTGTTGACGGAAGCTCAATGAAATCCGTTACGTTCGGTTTCGAGAGTTATTAGTACGGTGCTACTATGCAAGACAGCTCTGAGTCTGTAGTTCTCCACATGCACGATCTCTCGCTACAGGCAATCCTAAAATCCAGTGCACGTTTGCCCAGCCCTGGCGGCTTGTCAGTGGAAAATTCGGAATGCGCGCCGCGGCGTCCGTTGCTTCAGTTCGGACGTGTCGCTCGATCGAAGGCTGGCGCGCGGCGGGACTGGTTTTGTCAGCCGAACCGCACGATGTCCTAACAATCAGGCCAGCCGCAATGTACGGGACTTTTCAAGGGTGCTTTTGGTGTTAGAGCAGCATTCCCATTTGGGTTGGATTGGTTAAACCACGGGCACCATGAAATCCTCATTACAAGCACACGCGTTACCGGAACCGTTCACAGTTTTGAGGCAGCATACACAAGACGAGAGATGCTATACATAATGTAATGCCAGTATAGATGCTACATCATGTTACACCGCATTCTGAAAACCATGGGTCATCAAAATTGACGTACTTAGACCAGAGGCTACGATAGTTCGGCAAGGCAATCTTCAGCCATGGCTTCTGGTTACCATTCCAGTGTATAACTGCAGCCTTGGAAATAGCTGTTATGTCCAAGTGGGGATTGTAGCCAAGTCCCAGGACATGCCATGATGGATCAATGGCATGTGTGAGCCCATTGAAGGCCAGCAAGCCAGGTGGTAGCGTTCCTAGCTTCCATAATGAATGGTCAACGTTCTGCAAGCAAATGGCAAGCGGACCAAACCATAAGAAAGAAAGAAAGGAAGAAAGAAAGAAAGAAAGAAAATGGAAAAAGACGGAGAGACACTTGAGGGTATCCAGCAGACTAAAGGCACAAGTTCATGCTGTGGGGTTATATGCCATATGCCTTAACAGCTACCACCACATAGCTTTATGTGCCCTTTCTGTCACATCCCCCTCACCTGCTCCTGCCACAGCTACCTTTGCTGGAAGAGCAGGATGAGGCAAAACCAATGACGCAACATGGGGAACAGTAACAAGACAAATTTCGACAGCTTCCCCAAGAGAACGTACTCTCACCTGCTCCTGCCAGTAGTGGTACGTGGCAGTCAAATTGGCCTGCCGCCATCCGCCCAGATCGAACAGGTTCATGCCATACGCCCATGCACACCCCTCAGTCATGCCATACGCCCATGCACACCCCTCAGTCATGCCATACTCATTACAGGCTACCTCAGCTTGAGGAACGAGACAAGTAAAAACGATGATGCAATGTGAACAACACACACAGAGCAGTGTTCGCCAGCCTACACATCCCCTCAGAGTGCGTTCTCTCACCTGCTCCTGCCAGTAGTGGTACGTGGCAGTCACATTGGCCTGCCGCCACCCGTCCAGGTCGAACACATTCATGCCATACGCCCACGCACACCCCTCAGGGTCAAAGCGCCCTCTCAGCCGCGTGTCTGAGAAGTTGAGGTAGCGGTGGAAGCGGTGAAAGGACCCCTTGCACGTCTCCACTGCTCCATTGACGGCACTGACGAGGGCGGTAAAGGGGACAACAAGACATTGATAAGGTCAGACAGTGGAGACGCGTGTCTGAGAAGTTGAGGTAGCGGTGGAAGCGGTGAAAGGACCCCTTGCACGTCTCCACTGCTCCATTGACGGCACTGATGGGAAGGGGAGGACGGGAGTTAGCAGGAGCCGAGAGTAGTGGAAAGGTCTGAAGCTTGAGCTGAGTGGCAGTGAAGCTGAGGTACCGGTGGAAGCAGTGGAATGATCCCTTGCACATCTCCACTGCTCAGTTCACGGCGCTGATGGGAGGACGCACGGGGGGGGGGGGGGGAGAGAAATTCGGAAGTTGAATTTACAAGCCAAGAGCATTTGTAAGGATCAGACACTACACTAGAGTGTTGAGGCAGAGAGCCGTGTGAAGTTGAGGCAGCGGTGAAAGAGTTCCTTCCATGTCTCCACTGCATTGTGGGCAGCACTGATAGGAGGGGGGTAGGCAAGTTCGGACCTGACAGCAGTTACTGGCACCAAGGCGGATAGGGTTAGATACTTCATGAAAGCAACCCTTAAAAATGAGCTTGCACATGCAAGATACACACCCATCAACATGAGTACGTTCATGCTGAGAGAGACGAGGGCGGAGAGGTCTCGTTGCACAATGATGTCGTTGTCGAGGAAGAGGATGCGGTGCAGTGCGGTAAAGAGGAGCGAGAGAAGAGGGCAGAAACAGTGCAGTGCACGCAAGGCCGGAACCCACCCATTCATAAAAAGGGAGCAGAGAGCAGAGAGGTCCTGCTGAACAATGACATCGTCGTCCAGGAAGAGGATGCGGTGCAGCGCGGTGAAGAGGAGAAGAGGAGAGAAGGGAGTGCCGCTGCGAGCACCAGAAGACAGTATCACGAGTGCCAACTGGAGAAACATATGGACAGCACCCACCCGTTCATATTGAGGGAGAAGAGAGCAGAGAGATCCTGCTGAACAATGACATCATCGTCCAGGAAGAGGATGTGGAGCAGCGCGGTGAAGAGGAGCGGCAGGTAGTGCAGAAAGAGTGCAGGCAAGGGCTAGACGCACGCACCCGTTCATGTGGAGGGAATAAAGAGCAGAGAGGTCGCGCTGCACGATGACGTCGTCGTCGAGGAAGAGGATGCGGTGCAGCGCGGGGAAGAGGAGCGGCAGGTAGAAGCGCAGGTGGTTCAGCAGCGACATGTACTTGGGGTTGCGGAACTTGATCGGGTCGCTGCTGCCCTCGCCCTGTTGGAGTTGGGAGGGTGTGTGTGGGAAAGACGGGCTTTGCTTGAATGGGTGGGTGCGTATGGGTGGTTAGGGGTGCAGGTGGTTGAGCAGTGACATGTACTTGGGGTTGCGGAACTTGATGGGGTCGCTGGCCTCGCCCTGTGTGTGCGTGGGGGGGTTGTGTGGGGAAGAGGGGACATGAGAGAAGGGGAGGCAAGCGCAGGTGGTTCAATCAATAGGGAGGTGAGTGTGTGTGTGTGAGGGAGAGGGGTTGGGCTGTGAGTGTGTGTGAAAATGTGCACACATATGCGTGGGGGAGATTGAGCTACAGTTATTTGGGTGATAGAGCCTTCTTCAACATGGACCATTGATAGGCCTATGGTCCATGATGAAGAAGGGTGATGGTGGCAGCGGTGCTTACCATCTTAAAACCCTCATCACCCCCTGTGACCACCCCGCACCCCCCTTCAACTACTTGACTCACAACAGGGGCTGCATAGAAAAAGAAGCTCATCCTCACCACTCATAACCACAGCCCACTCCCATCCCCTCCCCACTCCCCACTCCGTCTCTCCTCTTCCGACTTCACCCAGGAGACTCACGGCAGCAGCAGCGGAGAATTAGAAGCTCTTGGCACTGGCATCCTGCATCTGCCGTAGCACCCTCAAATCTCTCGCACCTAACACACCCCCCCTCCTCCTATCCCCAAGCCCTCCCCCTTGACTGCCCTCTTCCCCTGCACTCACAGCAGCAGCAGCAGCGGAGAAATAGAAGCTCTTAGGCGTTGATATCCTGCATCTGCCACAGCACCTCCAGCGCCCACATCCCATCCCACGCCCACAACACAGCTCACTTCTCTCCACCTTACCCTCCCCCTCCTCCCCACTTCCCCCCCTCCCACCCAGCTCTCCCCTTGCACTCACAGCAGCAGCAGCGGAGAAGTAGAAGCTCTTGGCAGCAGCGTCCTGCATCTGTCGCAGCACGGGCGCAAAGGACGCGTTCAGCCACCCGCTCTCGCCCTCCACCCGCCGCACCTCTAGTGATGCCAAGCCGGGTGGGTGGCGGGAGAACCACACCTGGAAGGGGGGTGGGAAGGAAAGGGCGTTGTTACATTATAATTTCAAGAACACCGGGCAAGCCCTCCTGATGGAGAAGGGCGTCGAGACACTCACACCAACCAACAGCACATCCTCGACTCGAGCGCGCACACCCCCCTGAAAGGAAGGGTCACCAGGAAGGCAGGAAAGAAGGTGGCGTAACGTTGGTGACGGCGTGACCAGGCGAGAGGGGTGACGTATCAAAACAAGTCAACCTAAACTAAGCACCACCCATGAGCGAGCGCACACCCTGATGATGTTCTCTTCTTACCACGAAGGCAGGGAAGGAGGTGGCGTCGGTGACGACGTGGAAGCGCAGGCGGAAGGGGATGTAAGAAGAGAGAACAGAGGAGTTGAGAGCAGCAGACACGCCCAGGCCAGCATGCTGGAGCTAAACCAGCAACAGAGCACGCCACTCGCACTAACACACCGAACAACCCATAAGCCAATATCCCCGGTGTAGCAGAAGCAGTCTCACCACGTAGGAAGGAAATGAGGTGGTGGCGCTGGTGACGATGTGGAAGATCAGCCGTGAGGGGTCGTGGGAGGAGAGGAGAGCACAGTGGAGTTAAGGAGCCAAGACAGCGGGAGTTGAATCAGCACCAGAGCATGTCACTCGCGTTGACGCACCACACCACCCACAAACGCATATCCCCAGCGTAGCAGAGGCAGACTCACCACGAAGGCAGGGAAGGTGGTGGCGTCGGTGACGATGTGGAAGACGAGCCGTGAGGGGTTGTGGGAGGAGAGGACAGTGGAGTTGAGCGCAGCAGACACGGCCAGCACGTTGTCACTGAAGATGCACAAATGCTGCAACGAGGCATCCACCAGGCGAGAGTTGTTGGGCGTGCCCGGGGGCTGGGAGAAGAAAGGGGAGAGAGGGCGGTGGGGTGTTGATTTGGTATCCTGACTGAGGGCAGCGGACACGGTCAGCACGTTGTCACTGAAAATGCACGCGTGCTGCAACGAGGCGTCCACCAGACGGGAGCTGTTGGGCGTGCCTGGGGGCTGGGAGAAGGGAGCGAGGGCTGGTTGAGGATTTGATAACCTGAGGGCAGCAGACACGGCCAGCACGTTGTCACTGAAGACACACACGTGCTGCAGCGAGGTGTCCACCAGGCGGGCGCTGCTAGGTGCGGCACGGCTAGGTGTGGCACTGCTAGGTGCGGTACTGCTAGGTGCGGTACTGCTAGGTATGGCACTGCTAGGTGGGGTACTGCTAGGTGCGGTACTGCTAGGTGCGGTACTGCTAGTTGTAGCGCCGCTAGGTGCAGCAGTCCCAGATACAGCACCTATTAAGAGCAAAAAAAGAAATAATGGTTTGTTCAGCTCCAAGGTGCAGGGCGGTAAGTGCAACCCTCCGTGTAACCCACCAGGCCGTGGTGTATTTGAAAGGGGTGAGTGTCCGCCTCCATCCCTCCATGTGCAGTGGAGGCGTGCTGCAGAGCCCACTCCCTGGCCAGCCGCATGTACAGGCACGTCATGGGCTTGGGCATCGACTCTGATACCACCTGGAGGGGGGACGGAGGGGTGCAGTGCGGTGAAGAGCAGTGAGTTTACACATGGTGCCTGTAAGATAGGCAGAAAACTAGGCAGGTCACAGGAGCAGAGCCGTGGACACTACTCAAGAATCGATCCCAACCAGGAGGTAACCAGAGCGCACCTGAGAGGCGAGAGTGGCCTGAGCGGATGCCTTAGAGGCCTTCTCTTCTGCCTTTGCCACTTTCTCCTTCAGCGCTGCCATTGCCGCCGCTCTGAACAGTGTGACAGCGCGTGGAGGACATAAGGATGTTGAGTGTTGAGACGACTTGAAATAGGAAAGTACACTCTTGCACTTTAAGACATTGCTAAAAAGGCAATTTCAATTTGAAGTTAAAAAACAGGGAATCTCATTCACTACCCCACTCACATGCCATATCACTGCACACACATGCCACACTACCGCCCCATTCACATGCCACACTCATGTCATACCGCCCCATTCACATGCCACACTCAAAACTCATAGCGCCCCACTCACATCCCACACGTGTCACACTCACATGTCACACTCACATGTCACACTCACATATCATACTCACACGTCACACTCACATGTTACACTCACATGTCACACTCACATGTCACACTCACATGTCACACACATGTCACACTCACACGTCACACTCACATGTCACACTCACATGTCACACTCACATGTCACACTCACATGTCACACTCACATGTCACACTCACATGTCACACTCACATGTCACACTCACATGTCACACTCACACGTCACACTCACACGTCACACTCACATGTCACACTCACATGTCACACCCACAGCCACCGCCCCACTCACATGTCATAGTGCATCTCCTTGGCCTGAAGAATGAGAGCGCTCATGTTTGCTATGTGCGCCCGCGCCTCCTGCTTGTACACTGCTTGGCTGGTGGCAAGAGCCGGAGGACGGTAAGAGAGGGAGATGCGTATCATGAGTCAGCTCTATGCTCCATTGAGAGCATAGGGCTCACTGAAGCACTATGCCTTGCGGCATGCGCTTGCATCTTTTGAACCGCTCGACTGGGATAGCGGGAAGAGGATGGAGGTCGAGGAGGATGAGGTGGTGGGCACGAAGAGAGGAGCAGGGTAGGGTTGGGACTGAGGCAGGAATAACGATAGTAGGGACGAGAGCAGTGATAAAGACGAGTGAGCCAAGATTGCAGCACCTGGGGATAGCGATGGAGCGAGCAAGGAATGCCTCTGCGGTTCGCACGCCTCTACTCCCTCTCCCCCGCATCTTGTGCGACTTTTGAGACGTCTCAAAAGCCAACCAACAACGCACCTGGGGATAGCAATGGAGCGAGCAAGGAACGCCTCTGCGGCGCGCACGCCCCTCTCCATCTCATCGCCGAACTCCCTCTCCCCCGCATCCCGCGCGCGTGTCAGATACGCCTTCCCCAGGCTGATCTGGTCGCTGAGCTGGCGCACCGCGGAGTCGGGATCCAGCAGCTGCTGCCACGTCGGATCGGCGCGGAGAGTGGCGAGGGCCACGCGGATGGAGGGCTGGCAGAAGGGAAAGGGGAAGGGGGAAAGGTGGACGGGTAGAGGGTGTGGAGGGAAGGGGAAAGGGGAAGCGGAAGCGCAGGAATGGGGCGTTGGGAGCAGCAGAGGAAGACGGATTGGATGCAGGATTGCGGGTGTTGAACGATTGAATCGGACGGACAGGAGGGAGACGGATCGTAGCAGCGGTACCTGTGAGCCGTTGTTTGCGACGCTGCTAGATTTCTGCGCGGATTGAGGGGCCACGGGCGAAGGAGTAGCCTGCGATTCGATCCGGCGGGACGGAGAAGGGAGACGTAAACGAATTCTGTCAACTCTGTCAAGAGGGGTTACGCTTGAGTGAATTGACTCCTTCGCACGCTAGAGTCTCCTAGGTAAAACGTACTAGTATCTCAAGAAGCGTTTGTGCCAAATACGTGGTGCTATTCCTCGTCCATTCCAACTCGGCTTAATCCGAATTCGCTCTACAAGCAATGACGATCGCTCATTGGATTATCTTAGAAAACTCCCTGACAACGATTCTGTCGTATAATATCGCCCATTACCTGCTTGCCACGTGGCAGGAGCGAATCTACTGACGGCAGGTGGAGCGAGACGAAGAGCAGCATAACGACGAGCACGCACGCGACCACCAGCAGAACCATGCATCGCTGCCGCCGATGGCGGAGCAACGCGCGGCGCGAATGGCGGGGAGGCGAGTGCGGAAGCGCGAAGCCACCTGTGGTCTTCGGTAGATGCATGACCGTCATGATCGACAGAACTGTTAAGACCTTAGTTACATGCCTTTTGAGACGTCTCAAAGGTCACCTGCGGCTTTCCGTAGGTGCATGGCCGTGAATGCGGACAAAAACTGCTAGTGCCTAGATTAGGGCTCTCAAAACATGCCGGCGTTGCTGGATCAGAACCGTATTGGACCTGATGCCACCATTTCATTCAATGGTTCAGATCAGATTATACAGTTCACTTGTTTCTCCTAAAACAACGTCCCACTGTTTCGCGCAGGCAACATTCCTTGACTCTGTATGGACGCGGCGTAGTCACAACAGCTCGGGACGCATGACGATCCGCGGCGATTCTAACGATTAGTGGTGCTTAGAGAACAGGAATGGATCGACAGACAGGAATCAAGGATGATCAGCGACTGGTCGTGGAAAAGTCGTGCCTGTCTGCTGCTGTTGACGTACAAGGGATTGAGGGAATACCATGGGGTCTAGAAACCTTCTTCTTCGGTTCAGAGGTATTAAAGAGTGGTGAAGATTCGGAAGAGGTTGCTCACACGAAGTTGAGAAATGCTGCAGCGAATGGGGGTTGAGCGAACAGTGTTCGTCGCCTTGGGATTTCCTGTCAGTTTGCATTTGCGCGGGAATCGTTACTGTGACGCGGCCCTACACATAACACTATCTCTTCAGTCAAATTGTACCATTTATCAGGCGAGGCGAGTCGGACTGTATTTCTCCAGAGTGCACTGCCATATTAGCAGATTTCACTTCGTAAGGAGAAACTTATTTCAGCACTAACGCGTACAATATCCTCCTACACAAAGTTGTGGCTTCGTCAAATTCAATCCAGTATCAACCTCCCTCCATTCCATTCTTCCTTCACCTTGCTGAAACCGACAATATCTTCGTCGCGTTCATCGTTCTGACATTCGCGCGGTCGCCATGGCGAGCGACATTTCATCGCCAGCATTTTCGCCGGACCCCGAAGTGAGGCTCTTCAAGCTGCAGCGAGGAGGCCTCACGGCGACCATCACCAACCTTGGCGCCACTGTCACGAGCCTTACCGTCTCCGATGCACGCGGTAAGCCTCTATGTGTTATTTTCAGGCGCCTCAAAATCTGTCACGAGCCTTACCGTTTCACATGCACGCGGCTCGCCATCCCTCCACGCCCCTTCCTCCCCCGCCTTCCCTTTTGTTACATTTTTTTTTCAGGCATCTAACCTCCAATCCTTTACTACAATTCGCTTCCTTTCATCGGGAATCTCCCTCTGATCCCTGGTGGTTACTGCTGAAGCTATCGTCGACCACACTTCACTCTCTCTTGCCGTGTAGCGTCTTTCCTCTGCCTTTCCCTTTCCTCCACCGTTGACATTCCCTCATTCCTATTGGCGTGTACGTCTCTCATTCTCTATCCCACCCTCCATCAGGTCAGCTGCGTGACATAGTTCTTGGTTTTGACACCGCTCAGCCATACCAGGTACGAGTATTTTCCCCACTGTACATTCAACGGTAGCAGGACCGTACAATACAGGTGTCATATCAGTGGCGGATATGAAAAAGGTAGGGCATGCACACGTCTATTGAAGCTTTAGCTAGTGGTACGTCATGTTCTTGGTTTCCTAGAGTGTTGTGTTCGCCAGTGTCCGTTTTGCGTATCGCCCTGTCTTCAAACAAAACAAACAAAAAGAAAATGGGAAGAATCCTTCAACCAGCAATTTCTTTAATAGGTTAATTTATCTTCTTTTTCTCCTTTGCTACATTGACATGCTACGGTACGCCGTGGTGCAGGATGGCACATCCCCGTACTTCGGCTGTGTGGTGGGCCGAGTGGCCAATCGCATTGCAGGAGCTCAATTCAATCTGGACGGTCAGGTCCACCATCTGACGGCCAACGATAACCCTCGCCCCAACACTCTGCATGGTGGGGTGAGAGCGAAGAACGTCGTGTGTGTGAGCATGCATGTACACACTAGAGCTTGGGATGGATTTGTACTCATGATTTGCTATTTGCGGTCTGACAATGGTGAAAGACAAAAGAAACAAACACTTGGGCCTCACAGTGAGTTCGTTGCGGTGTGCTGTGTGTTTCCAGCAACCTCAAGTAATGTTTCTGCTGACAGGTGGCAAGGTGGGATTCGATAAGCGAATTTGGCATGTGGTGGGCAAGGATGAATGCGACGAAATAGGATCCGCTGAATCATCGGCAGCATCAGCATCCGCATCAGCAGAGGAGGGAGGAGCACCAGGCAGCAGCACGGAGTTGAATCTGGCACTGACGAGTGGGGACGGGGAGGAGGGGTTTCCAGGGAGGGTGGAGGTGCGGGTGACGTACAGGCTGGTGGGCGATGGGGAGATGGTGGTGGTCATGGCGGCACATGCTGTTGACAGGGACACGCCCGTCAGCATGGCACATCACATGTGCGTGTGTGTGAGTGCATGGAAGGAACTGTTTTGCACTGGAAGCGTGGGTTGGATACTGGAGGGCGATGGGGAGATGGTTGTGGGGATGGTGGCCCATGCTGTCGACATGACATGACAGGGATACGCCTGTCAGCATGGCACATCACATGTGCGTGTGTGGGTGCATGTATGGCATTGATTGATAGTCACATGGTAGGGTGGCATGGTGATGGCCGTGGTGGCACATACTGTTGACAAGCGCACGCCTCGTATGGCGCATCACATGTGCGTGTATGGTTGCATCAATTCTGCCTGTACCGTGTTAGGCACAATTAATGCAATCATGTGTATGATTGGACCACATCACATGTGATGCGCCAAATGCTAGGGGTGAGCTGCAGTTTAGACAGTCAATGGATGGTTGTCACGGCGGCGTGTGCTGGCGATAAAGCTATCTTGTTGTATGGCACATCACGTACTAATCCGTTTCCATTGTTCTTGCTTCCATAGCTTGTCAACTTTAACCTCTCCGCCTCTCCATTCTCCATCCACATCGTCCTCCCCACCCATGACCCCTCCCATTCCGCCATCTCCCCATCCCCCCTCCCACACCCCCTTCCCTGCTCACACTTCTCTCCCTATGCTTCTAGGTACTGGAACCTGGGCGGCCATGCCAGCGGAACAGTGCACGACCACATTGTGCGAGTCAACGCCTCCCACTACACGCCAATCAATGCCAACCACATCCCCACGGGTGAAATCCTGCCGGTACGCCTTCTCTGGTACCATCACTCGTTGCTAGGTCCAGGGTGTCACCCATTCATAATCCTCTGAAGAATGACTTTTGAGTCGACTCAAAAGTCACCTAGGTCCAGGGTGTCACCCATTCATAATCCTCTGAAGAATTCTCTGGGGGTGTTACTCTACACGCCACCAGTTTGTCTAGAAGATTTTTTTGGAAAATATTGAAGCACCTCTCAGATTTTGACATTTTTGGGAGCCTCTAAGAAGCGCTTTACCTCCCCACCTTCTGATGCATCTGCCGCTGCTTTTCTTCCCAACACAATCGCTCCAACCACCATCACAGGTAGTGGACACCCCGTTTGACTTCCTCTCAAGGGAGTTCCCCATTGGCGCACGCATGGCTGACGTGGCAGGCGGGTACGATCACAACTACGTGCTACACAGCACACACACGTGGAGTGGAGATGTGGCGGCTGGGGGGCCAGGAAGTGCAGGAACTCAAGGAACGGACGGAGTGGAAGCAGCATTGGGGGATGGGGCGACGAAAGAGGGTTGCGAAGTGGGGAGAGGAGCAGCAGATGAAGCCACAGGGGCGGTGGTCGCAGGGGAGAAATTGTTTTTGGCTGCCCGAGTGCGGCACCCGGAAACAGGCATCGTCATGACTCTGTCCACTAATGCCCCTGCCATGCAGTTCTACACAGGCAACTTCCTGGATGGTTCATTCAAAGGTGGGGCGAACACTTTCCGCAGTGGATTATCACCCTGACTCCCTGATAGCATGCGCGTGTGACTATCAGAGCATCGTATGGCCTTCATGATTGTCTATCCAGGCGTTTCCTTTCTGACATAACATTGCATTGCATTGCATGGCTTGTCTTGCACTGGTGACAGGGAAGGGAGGCACAGCTTATCAGCAGCACGCAGGCTTCTGTCTTGAAACACAGGTTGGCTCTTTTCAAATGCTGTTTTTCTTTAAATAAAGCGTTCATCTCATCTCTATTCGCTTCCCGGAATCTTTTCCCTCGTCCTACGAGCATGACAATGCTGTATTTCAATCATTGTGTCTCCTTACCATTCTAAACGTCTCTCTACCACTCCTTACCATTGTGTCTCCTTCTTGCATTTCTTTCCAGGGCTTCCCGAATGCGGTACGTACGTTCATTGTTTCTGGACACGTCAGCAGTAACAGCCACTGCTGCCGCCACTGAATATGGACACGTTTGGTCTTCACGCGTCTCCTCTCCACGTCAGCCTTTGTTGTACAATTGGTTTCACTGCACCCTCCCCTTCCTGGTCTCTTTGTTCCTGCATGGCCACTCAAATTGTAGACACACCCACACCCACTTCTAGATTGCAGTTACGAATGCCTGCATGCGCCACGTTATTTGTGGCGACTCAAAAGATGAACCATGTTCACTGCCCCTGTTGCAGGTCAATGAGCCCAAGTTCCCTTCCGTCATCCTAAGGAAAGGCGAGCGCACTGTTCACGTGATGCGAATACAGTGAGTCATCATCCCCTTTCCCACTCTCTATTTGGACATGCTTCTGCTGAACCTGCAACGCGCTGCTGTCGGCTTTGTTCTTCTGTGAGTCCACACGTTGTAGTTATTTCCTCCAAGGAATGCACACAGCTGTTTGGTGCAATGCAGCAGAGGCAGGTCGTGCATGCAGTGAGCGCAGGCTCGGCTGAGAGTGAGCACGAGGTTTGGCTTGAGAGTGATTGTGGTGAACCAGCCAACCAAAAACACGCGCAAGCACGTATGTGCACATGAGTGCACGCACGCACGCACGCACGCACGCACGCACACACACACACACACACCCACACACACACACGCACACGCACACACGCACATGCACACGCACACACACCATTGATCTGAACAACAGGGTTTGCATGAAGCACGTTCCAACGATCTCAAATTCGGTAGCAATGATAATAGCAGCCTGCAGGTCCATTTGGTCCATCGGTGACTTTTGAATCACCTCGTTACAATGCCACACGACACATAGCTGCAGCTCCACTTAGTCCATCAGTTCATTCTTCTGCTTATCATGTTCCTCTGATCTGCCATGCACAGTTTGAAGCCTTAGTGAGTTGTGTGCTGCAATACCTGTCTAATCTCCACGCCTTTTACTCCTTACGGATGCGTATGCTGCAGGTTCAGTCATGATTAGTCAGCAATCGTGCATGCTGCAAGCGCGACTCTATCCAGCACGAGTAGGACTGGAATTCGAAAACTCGGGCACTGATGTTTGCATGTTTGGGTTAGATGATAGCACGGTAATCCAAATTTGACGATCTATGTATAGTATGCCACCCCCATCCCCAACATGGGTGAGACGACGTCCATTTGTCTGACATAATGTCTTCACATCACACTCCTCCGACTCTGTTCTGGTAATGTTCAATCAATTTCATTACTTACTACGGTACTTCATTAGACAACTCCCAAGTGTATTTGCAGAAGGAAGGAGGTTCTACGGTAGATGAATGTATCACACCAGCACCATCCGGCCGTAGCGAGCAACCGCGTCTGCAAGGATCCGTTTCTCCTCCACTCGGTACTCCACTGCTGCCTGCATGCGCCGCCGCATTTTCCCCTCCTGCTCATGCCCACTCCCCTCACTACCTGCACTTCCTCTCCCCTCTCTCTGCTCATCATTCACCACGGGTCCCTTGAGCTGCTCCAGCTGCGCCTCATCGGCTTGCAGGGTGGTCGGGTAGTCGTTCAAAAGCTCCCTACAGCGATCCACCAGCTGCTTGGCTGTTGGGGCATTCAGAAGAATGGAGGGACAGACTAATTCTTGAGGCGCTGCAGTACTCGATTCCAGGAGCGCCTTGAAGGAGAAGAGGCATGGTGTGGGTGTGGGAAGGTGCGGCATGGTGCGGCATGGTGTGGCACGGTGCGGCATGGTGTGGCATGATGTGGCATGGTGTGTGGCATGATGTGGCATGGTGTGGCATGGTATGAAAAGTGCAAGAAACGTAAAAACATGATAATATAGGGAGTAGTGCGTATGAAAACGGAAAACAGCACAAGGTAACAGGACACACATTTGCTATCGAACGTGTAGTGGCGAGTCTCGACTCAATTCACCTGCCACGGTAACACATGAGTTATGGAACATGCAAGGCAACACACCTGCGATGGAGCGTGTACGCGGGGAGACGTTGGCAGCAGCGAGAGAACGAGAGGCGGTCCATTGGTGGTCGAGATGAGCGAGCTCCTCTGCTGATGATGCATGCAGCACGAGCAGACACTCCATCAGCCTTGTTGCTATGCCGCCTGAATGGGCATGATGGATGGAGAGAGGAGGGGTCAGAGAGAAAGTGAGAGAGAGAGGGGCAGGTGGGTGGTCGAGGTGAGCGAGCTGGTTTGCTGATGATGCATGCAGTACGAGCAGACACTCCATCAGCCTTGTTGCTATGCCACCTGAATGGGCATGATGGATGGAGAGTGGAAGGGCAGAGAGAAAGTGAGAGAGAGAGGGGCAGGTGGGTGGTCGAGGTGAGCGAGCTGGTTTGCTGATGATGCATGCAGCACGAGCAGACACTCCATCAGCCTTGTTGCTATGCCGCCTAAATGGGCATGATGGATGGAGAGAGGAGGGGTCAGAGAGAAAGTGAGAGAGAGAGGGGCAGGTGGGTGGTCGAGGTGAGCGAGCTGGTTTGCTGATGATGCATGCAGTACGAGCAGACACTCCATCAGCCTTGTTGCTATGCCACCTGAATGGGCATGATGGATGGAGAGTGGAAGGGCAGAGAGAAAGTGAGAGAGAGAGGGGCAGGTGGGTGGTCGAGGTGAGCGAGCTGGTTTGCTGATGATGCATGCAGCACGAGCAGACACTCCATCAGCCTTGTTGCTATGCCGCCTAAATGGGCATGATGGATGGAGAGAGGAGGGGTCAGAGAGAAAGTGAGAGAGAGAGGGGCAGGTGGGTGGTCGAGGTGAGCGAGCTGGTTTGCTGATGATGCATGCAGTACGAGCAGACACTCCATCAGCCTTGTTGCTATGCCACCTGAATGGGCATGATGGATGGAGAGTGGAAGGGCAGAGAGAAAGTGTGAGAGAGAGGGGCAGGTGGGTGGTCGAGGTGAGCGAGCTGGTTTGCTGATGATGCATGCAGTACGAGCAGACACTCCATCAGCCTTGTTGCTATGCCGCCTGAATGGGCATGATGGATGGAGAGTGGAGGGGTCAGAGAGAAAGTGAGAGAGAGAGGGGCAGGTGGGTGGTGGTCGAGGTGAGCGAGCTGGTTTGCTGATGATGCATGCAGTACGAGCATACACTCCATCAGCCTTGTTGCTATGCCGCCTGAATGGGCATGATGGATGGAGAGTGGAAGGGCAGAGAGAAAGTGAGAGAGAGAGGGGCAGGTGGGTGGTCGAGGTGAGCGAGCTGGTTTGCTGATGATGCATGCAGTACGAGCAGACACTCCATCAGCCTTGTTGCTATGCCGCCTGAATGGGCATGATGGATGGAGAGTGGAAGGGCAGAGAGAAAGTGAGAGAGAGAGAGGGGCAGGTGGGTGGTCGAGGTGAGCGAGCTGGTTTGCTGATGATGCATGCAGTACGAGCAGACACTCCATCAGCCTTGTTGCTATGCCGCCTGAATGGGCATGATGGATGGAGAGTGGAGGGGTCAGAGAGAAAGTGAGAGAGAGAGGGGCAGGTGGGTGGTGGTCGAAGTGAGCGAGCTGGTTTGCTGATGATGCATGCAGTACGAGCATACACTCCATCAGCCTTGTTGCTATGCCGCCTGAATGAGCATGATGGATGGAGAGTGGAAGGGCAGAGAGAAAGTGAGAGAGAGAGGGGCAGGTGGGTGGTCGAGGTGAGCGAGCTGGTTTGCTGATGATGCATGCAGTACGAGCAGACACTCCATCAGCCTTGTTGCTATGCCGCCTGAATGGGCATGATGGATGGAGAGTGGAAGGGCAGAGAGAAAGTGAGAGAGAGATGGGCAGGTGGGTGGTGGTCGAGGCGAGCAAGCTGGTTTGCTGATGATGCATGCAGTACGAGCACACACTCCATCAGCCTTGTTGCTATGCCGCCTGAATGGGCATGATGGATGGAGAGTGGAAGGGCAGAGAGAAAGTGAGAGAGAGAGGGGCAGGTGGGTGGTGGTCGAGGCGAGCAAGCTGGTTTGCTGATGATGCATGCAGTACGAGCACACACTCCATCAGCCTCACTGCTAGGTCGCCCGAATGAGTGGACAGGGAGGCGGACCAGGTGGTTAGATGGGGAGTGGAAGAAGGACTGAAGAGTGAGCAAGCGAGAACGAGAGGAGGTGAGTGCAGGCGAGGAGCAGTGAGGGGCTTACCAGTGCAGGTGAGGAGAGGGGGGGACCATAGCAGTAAAGGCGAGCAGAGACCATAGCAGTAAAGGCGAGTAGAGACCATAGCAGTAAAGGCGAGTAGAGACCATAGCAGTAAAGGCGAGCAGAGACCATAGCAGTAAAGGCGAGCAGAGACCATAGCAGTAAAGGCGAGCAGAGACCATAGCAGTAAAGGCGAGCAGAGACCATAGCAGTAAAGGCGAGCAGAGACCATAGCAGTAAAGGCGAGCAGAGACGAGGGCCTCACCGGTGTAGGCGAGGAGAGGAGCGTCCTCTGGGGTCATCTGGGAGAGCAGAGACGAGGGCCTCACAGGTGCCGCTTGTGCTGCAGGCGCGGAGAGGTGAGGGGCTTTACTCGTAAATGCGAGGAGGGGGGCGGGGCTTACCAGTGTAGGCGAGGAGAGGAGCGTCCTCTGGGGTCATCTGTGAGAGCAGGTGCCGTTTGTGCTGCAGGCGCGTGACCCTCTCCTCCACATCATCCATCATTTGCTGCACCGTGGGGGGAGAGCATGGAAGGTGTGGAGACGAATTGAGTTGCCATCTAAAATCAAGCTAGTTGTCATGTGAGAATTGTTCAGAAACACCGGTGGGAGAGCATGGGAGTTGTGGAGGTAGACTGCGTTTTAGACAGCAGAGTGGAATCTCGCAAGTGAAATGCTCAAGTTCGGGTGGAATAGGTCCGTGTTAGGCAAGAAGATACAGCTGATTCATCAAGCTCGAAGGCTCTTGGTTTAGTGCGCAAACGGATTTAGATCGAAGACGGTAAGGGAAGGATGGGATGAGAATTCAGCCGGGTCATCAACATTGAGTTGGCAGGTTGATTCAAATACAGGGCGATCCCAGCCAGTAGAGGTTGTTGGGATTTAGTAACTGAATTGCACGTTATTTTTCACACTCTTTTCCCTCATTCTCCACACATTACCTCCGAATGCGAGTAGATGGTGATTCGATTGGCGGGGTTGCTGCGGGGGAGGAAGCCGAAGGAGAGAAGGAAGGCGAGGGAGGTGAGGGGGCCGTAGGAGATGGTCACTTGGGCGCCGGGGCGCAGTGGGCGAGATGCGAGCAGCTCAAAGCGTGGAGGGCCGGGGGCGGATGACGAGCCCTGGTTGGTGGGATGGGATGGGATGGGATGGGATGGGATGGGATGGGATGGGATGGGATGGGATGGGATGGGATGGGATGGATGGATGGATGGATGGAGGGGTTGGGTGGGATAGGAAGGCGAGGGAGGTGAGGGGGCCATACGAGATGGTCACTTGGCGCCGGGACAGAGGGGGCGAGATGCGAGTAGCTCAAAGCGCGGAGGGGACGGTGTGGATGAGGTGGGGAGGTTGGGCAGGCGAGGAAGGTGACTGTTGAGAGCTTTGAAAAAGGGTTGTACGAGATCGTGGCTTGGGCGCCGGGGCGGAGAGGGCGTGATGCCAGCACCTCAAAACGCAGAGGAAGAAGAGCGGATGCAGGTCCCTGGTTGGTAAGATGGAAGGGAAGGGGGAATGGAAGGCGAGGGAGGTGAGGGGGTTGTACGAGATGGTAACTTGGGCGCCAGGGCGCAGAGCAGAGGGCGTGACGCCAGTAGCTCAAAACGCGGAGGGCAACGGGTGGATGCAGGGCGCTGGTTGGTGGTGTGGGGTGGAGGAGGTTGAGGGAAAGGACGGACGGGTTGGGATCAGGGTTGCTTGTGCTTGCCTTTTCTCTGCACCCATACGCCCACACAGACACGGACCAGACGGCCTCATCATCCGATTCTCTCCCGCACCACACCCTCCACCCAACCCAATGTACCCTCTCACCCACCTGCGTCCGCCCTCTCCTGATGCGCCACGTGGCAGAAGGTTGCACAGCAGCGTGTGATTCCGTGGCAGTGCTGCAGGCGTGGTTGGCCATGTCCACTAGCGGCACCAGCACCTGGGGATGCGGGGGGGGCAGATGGGGCATGAGCGAGACGGAATGTGAGACGGCTGCACAGTTGTGTGTGAGTGGGAGGCACTGGCAGGCGCTGCAGGCGCGGTTGGCCATGTCAACCAGAGGGACCAGCACGTGCCGCGGTTGAGAGGAGCACCCGGGATGAGGGGAGAGGAGAGCTCCGGGCAGGAAGCGCTTATGGAATGAGGCGCATAGGGCATGGATGACTTTTGAGGCGCCTCAAAAGGCATGGATGGAGGAGCGAGGAGTTTGAGACAGAGTGTGAGACGGCTGCATGGCCGCGTGTGAATCCGCTGGTGGCGGCGTTGCGGGCGTGATTGGCCATGTCAACCAGAGGGACCAACACAGCACCTGAACGTGGGGAGAGGGGGGAGTGTACGAAGGACGAGACGGAAGGATGGGATGGGAAGGTGTTGCAGGGGGAGGAAAAGGAGGGCGGAGACAGCAGCAGAGTACAGAACCACGAGTACAGCAGCAGCAGAGTACAGAACCACGAGTACAGCAGCAGCAGAGTACAGAACCACGAGTACAGCAGCAGCAGAGTACAGAACCACGAGTACAGCAGCAGCAGAGTACAGAACCACGAGTACAGCAGCAGCAGAGTACAGAACCACGAGTACAGCAGCAGCAGAGTACAGAACCACGAGTACAGCAGCAGCAGAGTACAGAACCACGAGTACAGCAGCAGCAGAGTACAGAACCACGAGTACAGCAGCAGCAGAGTACAGAACCACGAGTACAGCAGCAGCAGAGTACAGAACCACGAGTACAGCAGCAGCAGAGTACAGAACCACGAGTACAGCAGCAGCAGAGTACAGAACCACGAGTACAGCAGCAGCAGAGTACAGAACCACGAGTACAGCAGCAGCAGAGTACAGAACCACGAGTACAGCAGCAGCAGAGTACAGAACCACGAGTACAGCAGCAGCAGAGTACAGAACCACGAGTACAGCAGCAGCAGAGTACAGAACCACGAGTACAGCAGCAGCAGAGTACAGAACCACGAGTACAGCAGCAGCAGAGTACAGAACCACGAGTACAGCAGCAGCAGAGTACAGAACCACGAGTACAGCAGCAGCAGAGTACAGAACCACGAGTACAGCAGCAGCAGAGTACAGAACCACGAGTACAGCAGCAGCAGAGTACAGAACCACGAGTACAGCAGCAGCAGAGTACAGAACCACGAGTACAGCAGCAGCAGAGTACAGAACCACGAGTACAGCAGCAGCAGAGTACAGAACCACGAGTACAGCAGCAGCAGAGTACAGAACCACGAGTACAGCAGCAGCAGAGTACAGAACCACGAGTACAGCAGCAGCAGAGTACAGAACCACGAGTACAGCAGCAGCAGAGTACAGAACCACGAGTACAGCAGCAGCAGAGTACAGAACCACGAGTACAGCAGCAGCAGAGTACAGAACCACGAGTACAGCAGCAGCAGAGTACAGAACCACGAGTACAGCAGCAGCAGAGTACAGAACCACGAGTACAGCAGCAGCAGAGTACAGAACCACGAGTACAGCAGCAGCAGAGTACAGAACCACGAGTACAGCAGCAGCAGAGTACAGAACCACGAGTACAGCAGCAGCAGAGTACAGAACCACGAGTACAGCAGCAGCAGAGTACAGAACCACGAGTACAGCAGCAGCAGAGTACAGAACCACGAGTACAGCAGCAGCAGAGTACAGAACCACGAGTACAGCAGCAGCAGAGTACAGAACCACGAGTACAGCAGCAGCAGAGTACAGAACCACGAGTACAGCAGCAGCAGAGTACAGAACCACGAGTACAGCAGCAGCAGAGTACAGAACCACGAGTACAGCAGCAGCAGAGTACAGAACCACGAGTACAGCAGCAGCAGAGTACAGAACCACGAGTACAGCAGCAGCAGAGTACAGAACCACGAGTACAGCAGCAGCAGAGTACAGAACCACGAGTACAGCAGCAGCAGAGTACAGAACCACGAGTACAGCAGCAGCAGAGTACAGAACCACGAGTACAGCAGCAGCAGAGTACAGAACCACGAGTACAGCAGCAGCAGAGTACAGAACCACGAGTACAGCAGCAGCAGAGTACAGAACCACGAGTACAGCAGCAGCAGAGTACAGAACCACGAGTACAGCAGCAGCAGAGTACAGAACCACGAGTACAGCAGCAGCAGAGTACAGAACCACGAGTACAGCAGCAGCAGAGTACAGAACCACGAGTACAGCAGCAGCAGAGTACAGAACCACGAGTACAGCAGCAGCAGAGTACAGAACCACGAGTACAGCAGCAGCAGAGTACAGAACCACGAGTACAGCAGCAGCAGAGTACAGAACCACGAGTACAGCAGCAGCAGAGTACAGAACCACGAGTACAGCAGCAGCAGAGTACAGAACCACGAGTACAGCAGCAGCAGAGTACAGAACCACGAGTACAGCAGCAGCAGAGTACAGAACCACGAGTACAGCAGCAGCAGAGTACAGAACCACGAGTACAGCAGCAGCAGAGTACAGAACCACGAGTACAGCAGCAGCAGAGTACAGAACCACGAGTACAGCAGCAGCAGAGTACAGAACCACGAGTACAGCAGCAGCAGAGTACAGAACCACGAATACAGCAGCAGCAGAGTACAGAACCACGAGTACAGCAGCAGCAGAGTACAGAACCACGAGTACAGCAGCAGCAGAGTACAGAACCACGAGTACAGCAGCAGCAGAGTACAGAACCACGAGTACAGCAGCAGCAGAGTACAGAACCACGAGTACAGCAGCAGCAGAGTACAGAACCACGAGTACAGCAGCAGCAGAGTACAGAACCACGAGTACAGCAGCAGCAGAGTACAGAACCACGGGTGAGTTTCTGCGTCGGTGCCAAGAGTGGAAGTGAAGCAGGTGTGATTGGGCCTGTCTACTAGAGGGAGTAGAGAACTGAGAGTTTGTGGGAGAAGAATGGAAAATGACCACCTGGACAGACTTATTAATATGCACAAACAAACTGTCATGCCTACCCAACCAGCCTCACAAGAGGACAGAGGATGGCAAAGGAGGAACCAACCTGAAACGCGGACGGCAAGAGCTCCGCCGATCCACCTCCACCGCCACCTCCACCATCACCACCACCCCCTTCCCTGAGCAGCGACTCCGTAGTGGCTCCTCTAGATTCCACAGCACCAGCAGCACCGGCAGGGTCAGCGGCATTAGAGATGGAGAAGGACCGTGAGGTGACAACACGCAGAGCCCAGCGGGCTCTCTCTCTCCCTGCCCTCGGCACGGCTACAGCAACTGCTGCTTCCATGGCTGCCATCTCTGCCGCGTATGCTCGCACCTCCGCTGCTGCTGGGCCCGACTGCAGGTGCTCTAACTCCTCGTCGCTCCAATCGGCCAGAGTCTGATGACAGGCAGGGAGGGCGGTGGTTTGAGACATCTCAAAGGTATGCCCGCACCTTTCCTGCTGCTGAAAACGACTGCAGGCGCTCTATGTCCTCGTCACTCCAATCAGCCAGAGTCTGAACTGAAGAGAGGCAGGGACGGATGTGACAGGAGAGATGGGAAAAAGGGGGAGGGGTGAGGGGGAAGTGGGGTGGGGGAAGGAAGAGACGGTATTTCAGACCATATACCACCCTCTCTCATGGTATGGTATGGTATGGTGTGCTCACTCAATATTGTGCCATTTCATACCATACCATGCCATACCCACCCACGTACCACGCCATACCATACCACACTGTACCATACCATACCACACCGCCCTTGGTTTCAAACCAGAATATCACGTGCCTCGATCTCGCTCGGCAGCAACTCCTCCGCATACTGCCACCATATGCTGCCCGCCATCTGTTGAGACGTCTCGAAACTCGTCCCTTCCTCCTCCACCTGCGTCTGCTTTTCTCCTCCAGCCTCCATCCCCACTTCTCCTCTCCCTTCCTCCCCCTCCCCCGCGCCCATCCCACCCTCCCCTGTCCCGCAAACCGCCTGCAGCAGCGCAATCGCCAGTCGCTGCACTGGAGTGCCGCTACCCCTTCCTCCTCCCCCTGCTGTTGACGTGGCGTGCAGCGGCACCCACAGCGTGGCGCGCAGAGGCACGGACAGCAGAGGCGTGCCGGGGGGAATGGGGGGACGCGCGGGCACAAACGGGGGAGGAGAATGCGTAGAATGGGGAGAGGTGAGGGTTGATGGGGATGCAGAAGGCGCGGAAGCGGGAACAGAGGGACCAGCGGCGGAAGAACCTGGGTGATCCGTTGCGGGTGAACAGACAAAGAGGCCTCGTTCCCCTTCCTCCTCCTCTTCTTCCTCCCACGTTCCCGTTCTTGACTCTACTTCCTCCCGCGGCTCGACTCCCAGGCGCACCAGAGGCTCTGCTGGTTCCACGCCGATGCGCCGCCACATGTCCATGAACGATTGGTGCTGCTCACGTAGTGTTTTTCCCGCATTTCTTGGTGCGACATGATCTCTCGTTCCCGCCTGGCACTTAAGCGTCATTATCTCGTGCGATCTGTAGGTTGGTCGTTTAATGTCGCGATCATATTGGCATCCACATCCCGAGACTGATAATTGCGGACGAGCCGCGAAACGGGTGTGCCTTGATCCACTGCTTCCGTCGGCCGAGCCTTCTTTCGTGGGAAGATTGCGCAGATTGAACCCCGAAGTCCGGCATGTGACGGCGTTGCCGTTTCTCGTGCTTCGAAAGGCTTGGAGCGGGAATGTACTTACTAGCGCTATCCAGGGAAGGTTCGTACGGAGTTTCCTTGAATGGGAGATTCTAGGCTGCCTGAGTATACTTGTAAATTGGTCGGAACGGGGAGCGCGGGCCACCATGTGCGGTTTCAGAATGCGAAAATTCAAGTGTTCAGGTGGTTCTGATATAGCCCGGACCGCCGGATAATTCTTACAGGGACCATCGTAGATTGCGGGCTTCGGAAGGCTGACCAGCATTGTTCGGTTTCAAGGGCGCGTGCTGGTCAAAATCGTGCAGATTCTCACAGCAATGAAGAGATTGTGGTGGTGAACAAGCATGGAGAAGTCCTTGGGAATGCCGTGTGGTTTGGATGAGGAGAATTTGGGAAATGAGCAGAGAGGGGAGACTGAACCCAACCAACCGAACAACAGCAGCAGAGCCCCCCCAAAAAGCGTCGTGTTTGCGAGATTGTGGCTGTGCGAAAATGAAAGAGTTTCGTGACTAGCGGGAAAATTGCCCGATGTGGGGTCATAGGGCCAACGAAAAAGGGTTACCAATCGCGTTTGGAATGTGCAAATTCGACAAGCAGCAAAAATGGTACACCGCATATTTCGCTCACCCCCAGGTCCCACCCAAGGTTCCTAGACCAAAATTCTTGTGCACTTGATCGTGCGCTGTTCACTCCTATGGTGAGTGCTGCAGGTTCTTGCTCCTGACTTTCTCCTGACTACTACACCGTGATCGTTTCACAATATACGTCGAGACCCGCAGCACGATCGGCCCAAGGAAACCACGGAAGTCTGTCCGTCCGTGTACCATGCGTCGAGCCGCAGTTCAAGCCGTTCACTTAGGCCGGCTCGCGGCCTCTGTCGCTCCTGCCGGATCCACACCATCCGGCGCGATTCCCGCTTGCCTGTCCACGTCAGCCGCTAGCAGATCGCCATGGATCGCGCCATCCCCGATGGTCAATCAAAGTGTGCCAGCTGGCACCGCTGCTGCTGCAAGATTATTCAGCGCAGAGAGCAGCGTAGATAGCGGCTCAGCGGGTCAGCAGCTGATCGCGTCGCTATTGGTCGAGCGGCTGCCTGTCGTCATCCCGAAGCCTCCCGAATGGGCTCTTAAATACGAGACGTTTAGGTTCGTGTATCGAGGCGCCTGGGAATCTCTCGAGGCTTTAGGCTCGTGATCGTAGTAGCCGCTTTCGCGCTTCAGGTTGATAGGTTGCGTCTAAGCCTTATCGGTTTTCTAGCATGCCAGGTGTGACAATAACGAGCACCCTTTCCCTCCCTATGCATTTGTGACAGCTTCGAGCGGAAACAGCAATACCGCAAGCAGTATCCTAAAGACTTTCTAGACGCGGCCTCTTCGACCAATGCAGGTGTGCCACGTGTCGGTTCCTTGCTTCGTTTCTCTCCCAACGGCAGATCTTCTGGCCCTTCACCCCTCCCACGTTGGCCATCCGGCCCTCACCCGCTTTTCCCGTAAAATCTCATGTTGTTGCCATCGCCAGCCTCTCCCTCCCGCATTTCCTCCCGTCGAGTCGTTCCAAAACAATTTCTGAGTCCCCCCAAACACGCCATATCCCGTTGCCCCGTTCCCAACCTCCCCCGCCCCCCCCCTCCCCGTGCACACCCCCCTCTCCTCCGCGCGCACACCCCTCTTCCCCTCCGTGCGCACACTCCTCCGCGCACGCACCCCTCTTCCCCTCCGTGCGCACACTCCTCCGCGCACGCACCCCTCTTCCCCTCCGCGCGCACACTCCGCCACGCGCGCAGCAAGCGCTGAGGGGGAAGGCGAGGAGGAGGACGAGTACTGGGCGGGAGTCCTCGAGGCGCCGTTTGACGCGCCGTCCAGACGAACCGCTGCTGACGAGGCCAATGACGTCAGGTGGGTGGGTGGGAAAGCATGGAGTAAAAGAAGGTCTCTTGCAGACAGCTTCACTGTCAAGTCAAGCACTATTAAGGTGACTTTTGAGTCGACTCAAAAGTCAGCTCTCTTGCAGACAGCGTCACTGTCAAGCACTATTGAGCCTCCGCACCATTGCTTAGCTAAACTGCTCCTACTGTGCCTCCCACATTCCCCCATTACCCTCCCTCCGCCTCACTGACCCCTCTCCCCCTCACTGCCCCCCTCTCCTCCTCACTGCCCCCCTCTCCCCCTCACTGCCCCCCTCTCCTCCTCACTGCCCCCCTTCTCCCCCTCACCGTCCCCCTCTCCTCTCCCCCCCTCAGCAGCAGGCTCCTGCAAGGATCGCTGGACAAGCGCCTGTACCTGTTCCTTCCCCTGTTTCCCCACTCCCCCAACTTCCCACTTCCTTTTTCCTCCCCCATCACTTCCACCCTATTTCCCACTTTCTTTCCTTCTCCCTACCCCACCCACCAGGTCCCTACAGCGGTCGAAGGACAAGCGCCCGTACCTGCTCTCGCCACGCCACTCCCCCACTCCCCCCACTTCCCGCTTCCTTCTTTCCGCCTCCCCTCTCCACCACCCACCCCCACCAGGTCCCTGCAGCGTGCACTGGACAAGCGCCTGTACCTGCTTCCCCCTCCAATCCGCCTGTACTTCCGCCTGTACCCTCATGGTGCCCCCAATCATCACCCCATCCCCCCCCGCCACCCACCAGGTCCCTGCAGCGCGCACTGGACAAGCGCCTGTACCTGCTGCTCAAGGGGCCCTCGCTTGCCGGCCAATCAGGCAGCGACACATGGCACTTCCCCGAGAAGCTTTACGAAGGCGAAGATTCCATGCGCCAGGTGTGTTTTTCAAGCCATGTGTGCTTTACAAGCCACGTGTGCTTCATTCCAGCCATGTTTACTTGATTGATTCACATGGAATTCTTAAAAGTGACTCCGCTTCCCCCCATCCCTCCCAACCTTGCACCATGGCCTTCGTTCTTTTCTCCATCGCTTGGTTTCCTGCCCATAATCTCTTTCTCTGTTATTTCCCCTCCTCTTCTCACATTCATTCTCTCTCTCTCCGCTTCCCCCGTGCGTGCGCCTGGCCTCGCCTGGCCTGGTGTGTTCGCCTGCAGTGTGCAGAGAGGGCAGCAGCAGCATCCCTCGGTTCCTCCCTCGACCTCTACTTTGTTGGCAATGCTCCCTGCGCGCATGCTCCCATGGTAAGCCCTGCGCACATGCAATCAAGGTGGAGGGTGCACTGCATGTACGCCTGCACTTACTCGTTCCTCAGGCTCGTCCCTAGACCTCCATTTTGTTACCAGTGCTTCCTGCGCGTATGCTCCCACGGTAATTCCTATTGCTGTGTTGTGTTGCGGCATGAGAGGTGCAGGCGTGCACTACATGTATCCAATTCTCGGGAGCCTCGTTGGCAATGTACCATGTGCCTGTGGCCCTCCTGTACCATACCCGTTGTTGCTGCGTGTGACAGTAACGAGTATGACTGGTTGTACACCTGATACTCGCATCGACCTGCTTGGTCCATACTTGTTTGTTGTATACCCATTGTTCTCCCACAGCACCGTATGACACACCGACACACCTCATATCACACTATACCGTACCCTCTCTCAGTCATGGGCCTGTCTCACAAGATAGGCATGGCTGTATGCCTCCCTCACACCGTCCCCCATCCCCTCACACCTTCCCTTTGTCCGTATGGTAATCTTCGTTCCAACCAGGCTCCTGCAACAGCTTTCGGTTTTTGAGTCGACTCAAAAACCGGCTCCTGCCACAGCTTTCATCTTCGGAGCGCATGTGCTAGACGACATTTGAGACGTCTCAAAAGTCTTTTCCTGCACACCTTTCCCCATCCCCACACACCTTCCCCTTTCATTCTCAAAAGCCTTTTGCTGGCAACCTTCGTTCCAACCAGGCTGCCGCCGCGGCCTTCTTGTGAGCCCACGTCCTAGGAGGAGGGGAGTTCCTGCCAGTGTATGATGCGACCATTGTCATGCCGCCTAAACAATCGTCTCATCTCCCTCCACCTCCCCATCTCCCTCTCTGATTCTATCCCAGGCTGCAGCCACGGCATTCTTCTTCCGAGCCCATGTCCTAGGAGGTGATTTCCAACCATCTGCCCGGACAATAAAGGATTTCGCGTGGGTCAGCAAGGCAGAGATCCCAGAGTATGTGGACCTTTCGGCCATCCCTGATGGACCCAAGCTCTTCCAGACGCTGCTCATGGACGAGTGACATCTCTTCCACGCAGTTTGCATGGACGAGTGATACGATAGGGAACAGCTGAGAGTTTTGTGCTGTATGGGTCAGCAAGGCGGAGATCCCAGACTATGTGGACCTCTCAGCCATCCCTGACAGACCCAAGCTCTTTCAGACGCTGCTCATGGGCGAATGATGCCAAGATAGGGAGCAGAGTGCGATATACCGGTAGTAGGGAACATCATGCCGGCTGTGCTGCCGAAATCCCTGATGGCCTTTGCTCCCCGACAGGACCATGTGCTTGTCTATCACTAACGGACCCTACCCAAGCTCTCCCAGGCACTGCTCATGGTGAAAGCAGCGCATGCTACCTTCCATTTGACAATCCTCTGCCTTTTGTCTTTGTATTCAGGCAGTATGCGATGCATATAACATCCACGCTCCAGCGACTCAAGTGTGTACTCTTGAACAATGGAAATCCGTGCAGTGCAGCCATTCCTTCATACCGTGTGTCATGGTGATTCCACAGGCACAGCTACTCATTGATCGAGGCGGTGAAAAACATCTCACTTGACATTAGGGAGCACAGTCCTTCACTCTGATTCGGCTTGCGTGGCAGGGTGCCGTTCTGAACCCTCTTGCATACGAGGCTGCCCAGGGTACCTACGGTACCGTGCTGTACGTCCATCACAGGCTCTGATAGCCTATGCATGTGCTCTTTAACTGCCATCCATGGCAGAGAGCTTGAGTTCGGACAAGCAAATGTCTACAATGCAAGTGAAAGGAAAGCATGCGAAACACTTTTTCTGTCACACACACTGGTTCATATACTGTAACAGGGCAGCAGTGAGAAACTGCACCACCCACGCACCATTGCCCACTGCACTACCTAGTATATATATGACTACAGTGCTTCTAGCACTGTTGGCATCTAGTAGTGCCATGCAGCACAGACCACAGGCCGCTCACAGGTGGTCTAGTGGTGTCCGACAACAGGGCACTCTATACAATAACTAGCAAACGAAGTCTTCGCACATCTCAACAGACGGGTCGGACCAGACACCAGCACTGGCAAAGCTTGTGTCCGCAGCAATGAGCACATGCATCCTGGTGCTCACAGCAGCGATTCACTGCTGCCCACAGCACACTGTGCCACCAACCGGAACACACCATCCCATGTCACAGCTCCACCACCCGGAAACACACTGTACTGCGCACCATCGCATTGAACCACTCCGCAAACCAGCTCACAGCAGCTGCCCCTCGAGGATCTTCGCGGCCCTCTCGATCGCCCGTGCTGCCCGGAAGATCTCATGCTGCACCGCCTTCCACTCCTCCCCATCCTCGTTATTGTCACTCCCCCTCACAGCACCACCTGCCCCAGCCTCGGGATTTTCCTTTTTGGAGGCGCTGCTACTGATGACATCAGCGATGGCATCGCGGATCCCGGGGAATGGTGACGTGGCATAGTCGTTGTCCTTCTCAGGGCCGTACACCTGGCAGGGGGGATGTTGGGGGAAAGAATATTTGAGATTTGGGAAAGATGCGTTGAGTGCACGCCACATGCACTAGCACAGCCAACCCACCAGCACGCACCCACACTCACACTACCTTACACACCATGACTCTTCCCGTCCACCCACCAGGTGCTTGAACCACGTGTAGTGTGGCCCGATGCCGTGGCCGTCCAGGAACCCCCGCTCCGCCAGAAAGAGGCGCTCGTTCACCGCGTCAAACGCCTTGGAGGACGGGCAGTTGGCGCTGCCTTCCTCCATGGGGCATCCCCTCCCCCTCGTGCACCTGCACGCGCTGCTGCTGGATGCTGCAATGCGCTGTGGTGGTGGGAGGGGGGAGGGGAAGAGGGGGGAGAGAGGATGGAAAGGGTGTGGGAGACGAGCAGTTGGCGCTGCCTTCCTCCATGGGGCATCCCCTCCCCCTCCATGGGGCATCCCCTCCCCCTCCATGGCGCATCCCCTCCCCCTCCATGGGGCATCCCCTCCCCCTCCATGGGGCATCCCCTCCCCCTCCATGGGGCATCCCCTCCCCCTCCATGGGGCATCCCCTCCCCCTCCATGGGGCATCCCCTCCCCCTCCATGGGGCATCCCCTCCCCCTCCATGGGGCATCCCCTCCCCCTCCATGGGGCATCCCCTCCCCCTCCATGGGGCATCCCCTCCCCCTCCATGGGGCATCCCCTCCCCCTCCATGGGGCATCCCCTCCCCCTCCATGGGGCATCCCCTCCCCCTCCATGGGGCATCCCCTCCCCCTCCATGGGGCATCCCCTCCCCCTCCATGGGGCATCCCCTCCCCCTCCATGGGGCATCCCCTCCCCCTCCATGGGGCATCCCCTCCCCCTCCATGGGGCATCCCCTCCCCCTCCTGGGGCATCCCCTCCCCCTCCATGGGGCATCCCCTCCCCCTCCATGGGGCATCCCCTCCCCCTCCATGGGGCATCCCCTCCCCCTCCATGGGGCATCCCCTCCCCCTCCATGGGGCATCCCCTCCCCCTCCATGGGGCATCCCCTCCCCCTCCATGGGGCATCCCCTCCCCCTCCATGGGGCATCCCCTCCCCCTCCATGGGGCATCCCCTCCCCCTCCATGGGGCATCCCCTCCCCCTCCATGGGGCATCCCCTCCCCCTCCTGGGGCATCCCCTCCCCCTCCATGGGGCATCCCCTCCCCCTCCATGGGGCATCCCCTCCCCCTCGTGCACCTGCACGCGCTGCTGCTGGCCGCTGCGATGTGCTGTGGTGGTGGGAGGGGTGGCGGGGTGGGAGGGTGTGGGATGGGGGCGAATGGCCTCAGTTTGTGCCTTCCTCAGATGCGCCCTCCATGGGGCATCCCCTCCCCCTCGTGCACCTGCATGCGCTGCTGCTGGATGCTGCAATGCGCTGTGGTGGTGGGAGGGGTGCGTGGGATTCGGGGGGTGTGAGATGGGGCTGAGACGAGGTGCGAGGAGAAAGGGAGCGGGGAATAGGAGGGATAAGAAGGGAAGTGCGAGGAAGGGTGGAGGAACACGGGAAATGGAGATGGAAGATGGGAGGGACTGCTGAAATGGAACTCGTTCCACACGAAAGCTGATGGGGCTGGCCAGGTGCGTGGAGCGGCCTAGTGCTCCACGCACTGCTGTGCACCCCACCGCACTGCACTCCACCGCACTGCACACCTGAACGCGGAACACGCGTTTTCAGGAATACCTAAATATCTTCTTAAATGCCTTGAGCAGCAGCTAGGATGCGAGAGACGGACACAAATATGCTCCAGAACGCTGTGCACCCCACCGCTGTGCACCCCACCGCTGTGCACCCCACCGCTGTGCACCCCACCGCTGTGCACCCCACCGCTGTGCACCCCACCACTGTGCACCCCACCGCTGTGCACCCCACCGCTGTGCACCCCACCGCTGTGCACCCCACAGCTGTGCTCCCCACCGCTGTGCACCCCACCGCTGTGCACCCCTGAATACCAGCCTGAATGCGCACCTGGATTTCCGCTTCAATGCCCTGGGCAGCCACCAGGAGCCGAGAGACCGACGCAAAGAGCGGCTCCACTGAGAGAGATGACGGGGCGCCTTGTGCTGCCACGTCAGCCTGCAGCCTTGCAACGTCATGCTCCAGGTGGGCAGCGTATGCAGAGTAGTTGAAGGGCAGGCGGTGGTCGCCTGCCAGCCTGGCAGCCACGCCAGCCATCATCTTGGTGACTGCCACGTGGCGCTTGAAGAGTGGATCGGCAAAGGTGGCCATCCAATGATAGTTGTCGTACACACTGTGATACATGGGGTAGGCTGGGTGCAGAGGGGAAAGGAAAGGGAAGAGGAGAGAGAGGGGGGGGAAAGAGGAAAAGGATGGTTGATACGTTATAATAACCATCCAAATGGTAGTTGTTTCACACACTGTGGTACACGGAATAGGCTGGTTGCAATGGAAAGGGGGTAATGGAAACAGAGCTCTTGAGGTGGCTCAAATGCCATTCAATGACACAAAGTAGGCTAGCCTAAAAAAACACTTCTGAAATTTCTCAAAAGTAACTCTCAGACCAACTTGTAACCTCATACCAGCCCACCCTCGTAAGCTCTCACCACCCCCTCAAACCTCACACCACCCCCTCACAAACTCACATCCTCCAAAGTGAGTGTCTGCTGCGGCAATCCCAAGGTGCTGCAGGAACGCAGCGTAGTCACTGCCTCCCCCTCCCAGCCGCCCCAACTGCACCATGTGGTTGGGAATGGCCGACAGAAATGATAGAGTTTTCAAACGTCTTATGAATTGGTTCGGGAATGCACAGTGGAATGATGAGTCCCTCACACCTTTCCTTTGGACATGCAGAATGGGGGATGTGAAAGTATTTGTGATATTAGGTGCCTTTATGATGCTACAGAGAGGTTATTCCATACAGCACAACTGGTGCTCTGGCCTCTCTCTAGTACCATACTATGTACCATCACAACCAGTATCCAGCTCACCCTCACAACCATGTGCACCATGCACCATGCATGGTCTACAACGCACCTCAGGCTCTGACGTGCTGTGCTCAGCTGCCCACCCCTCCAATATCGACTCGCCAGCTGGATCGTCGGGATTGGCCACCTGTGAGGGCGAAAAAGGGGGAGACGAAGGGGGGGGGAGAGAGGGGAGAGGGAAGCAACGGGAGAGTGGGGAAAGGGAGTGGGAGTGGGAGTGGGGAGAGGGACGGAGAGTGTGGGGAGAGAGGAAGAAAGGAATGAAGAGGCAAAAAGGTGACTTAGCTAGCAAGAGCGGGCTGTAAAGAAAGTATTCCGACATCTCTCATATCTCTGGGATTCTCAAAAGTCTCTCTTGAACTTTCGAACTGGTTGGTACTCGCTCAGTCCACCACACGGCTCAATGCCATCAGCACACCCAGCCACTGACGTCAGCGTGCCTACCTGGCTGCTGACGTCACGGATGAGGTCATCAAGCTGTGGGGTGGCGGAGGCATGGAAACCTCCTCCCCCCACAGCCACGTCCACGTTTATGTATGCCATGGCTGACGTCGCCAGCACTGGCGCGTTGTCCTCTACCCATTCGGTTGACCCAAGCTGTAGTGTGACATGAGCATGAGGAAGGGCAAGGGCATGGGGAAAGAAATGGCACTTGTATATTGAAGCACTCTCCCCCCCCCCCCCCACGGCCACGTCCACGTTGATGTATGTATGCTACTGCTGATGATGCCAGCACCGGTGCATTGTCCTCCGCCCACTCCGTTGATCCTAGCTGCAGAGACACATGAGCACGGGGAAGGGCATGGGCATGGGAAAAGAAATGGCACTTGTATTGAAGCACTCTCTCCCCCCCACCCCACACACAGCGATGTCCACGTTGATGTATGCCATGGCTGCCGTTTTCCAGCACTGGCGCATTGTCTCTCTACCCACTCACTCGGTTGACCCCAGCTGAATTGGGGGACAGACAGGGAAGAGGATGGGGACGGGAGAAGGAAAGAGTGAGAAAACTGTGAAGTTGAGGAGTGGGGGAGAAAAAAACACATACATTGTCAGTGCAACCACTATACACTGGCAACAAGTCCTCAGTGCCAACCCCATACTGTCACAGTGGCTAACCTTTACCGTCTCCCTTCTACTGTCATAGTGTCACCCCATACCGTCACCCCTACATTGTCACCTCACCCCTCTATAGTCACACTCACACATCCGTACTCCTCAGCATCCCAGCTGGCAAACACCAGCGAGCGGCGAGGCGACCAACCATGTGTCGCCATGTGGCCAAACGCACGCGCCACCTGGCGAGGGCGGGGAGCGGGAGATTGGGTGGAGAAGAAGGGGTGGGGGAAGAGAGTATTTATGTGAATGATACGATAAGAAATGCGTGTGATAAACGGTGCAACAAGATTGGTAAGTTGGGCCTTATGCAAAGACGAACCGAGTCATCACTTCGGCACGCTCCATTGCTCCAACCTGATAAGGTGGAAGAGCAGACAAGGAAGGGAAGGCACTTTCATTCTTCAGGCACCCAAAAGAATGAAAAGGACAAGCTAAGGAAGAGGATGCATGGATGGAGCGCAGTGCAATGGTTAGGAAATGGATGGACGCAATCGGGATAGGCAGTGGTACCTCGAGCAAGCAGGTGGTGCCGCTGTTGGGGTCTGCAGCGCCAAACACCCATGCATCCCGATGGTTGCCCAGAATGATGTACCTGCACACATGGTGGCGGTGTGGTGGCGGCAGCAGGGTCGGCGGGGGCGGGGGTGGTGGTGGTGGGGGGGGGGGGGGGGGGGGGGGGGGAAGGGGAGGTGTATTGACGTGATGTTATTGACTTTCACATGAAACGAGGACAGAATGCATCACAATCTCAGAACTGACAAAAGCATAGCTGAAATACAGTAATGCGTGGCACTCGCGGCAATGGCACCAGGGACAGACAGCCACGGTGGCTTCAATTCAGTGAAGGTGGCAGATCAGACACCCATCATTCCACAACCGCCGCTGCCCTCAGCAGCGCACCTGTCGGGCTGGTGGGAGCCTGGCAGCACGCCAATGACGTTGCGGATGGTGGTGACTGTGGCGTTCATATGTGGAATCAGCCAGTCCAGTATCCCAAACTCACTCCTGCCCGCTGCTCACCTGTCCGGCTGGTGGGAGCCTGGCAGCACGCCAATGACGTTGCGGATGGTGGTGACTGTGGCGTTCATCTGCGATCAAACCAACAGATGGTAGGAGAAGATCCCAAAACAATGGGCAGGGGATGCGGAGAGCGGGCAGGAAGAATCAAGCAGGTGTGAAGGATGAGAGTGGAGAGATGAGGGATGGATGAGATGGGGTGGGATGGATGGCTCCAAGTAAGGTGCATCACCCCCACACTCACTCACTCACTGTAACACATGGCGGCAGATACACGTATCATGTACGTGCAAGTGGTACTGCATGCACGCATGGTTGCATGCACGCATGGTTGCATGCACGCATGGTCGCATGCACGCATGGTCGCATGCACGCATGGTCGCATGCACGCATGGTCGCATGTACGCATGGCCGCACGCACGCAACCACGCTCGCAAAATTCACACGACCTCTTCCCCATGCACTCTCTCACCTGCACCTCCAGGTCAACTGCAGCAGGTCCGGGTCCAAACACGTACTGCACGCGCGGCCTGCCACTGCACCATGTGTGATAAGTCGAGTTTTGAGTCGACTCAAAGCTCGACTTATCACACACGGTCAACAGCAGCAGGTCCGGGTCCAAACACGTACTGCACGCCTGGCCTGCTGCCACCGCACCACTCCTTCGGCACAGCCCTGCCCCCCATGTGCGCCATCACTGCCCCCCATGTGCGCCATCACTGCCCCCCATGTGCGCCATCACTGCCCCCCATGTGCGCCATCACTGCCCCGGCCACCGAATACCCCACCGCCCACCCGCCCCCCAAGCGCGCCCTCTCACCTGCACCTCCAGGTCAACCGCAGCGGGTCCCGGCCCAAACACATACTGCACGTCTGTCATGCCGCCCTGCCACTCCTCCGGCACCGAACTCCCTCCCATGTGCGCCATCACCGCCCCGGCCACCGAATACCCCACCGGCAGCACCGGGATGCGTGGCAGGCGCTTGGCTGTTTCCTTGTGGCTTAACCGTTCCCCTCCAGGGTGGGACGGCCAACCGGGGGTGGCAGGGTCGCCCTTGCCTGGGAAAACCACGGGCAGGAGAGGAGAGGGATGAGTCCGCATGGTCTGCATGGTCCGCACGGTCCGCATGGTCCGCATGGTCCGCATGGTCCGCATGGTCCGCATGGTCTGCATGGTCCGCATAGTCGCATGGCGCATAGTGGTGCATGTATGAAGACCATTGCATCATCGCATCAGCATGGAGGTAGGTATTATTCTAGATGGTGCCTCTCTGGGCGCCAGTCACACATGGCCATTGCTCCTGGGCTTACACGCGCCGTGCACCGGTGCCTTACCTGTGTAGATGGTGCCTCGCTGAGCGCCAGTAGCAGGCAGCCATTGCTGCTGCGGGTACACATGCTCCGCATCTGTGCCCTCTGGTGCGTAATCCGCTGGGTCAGAGTACAGCAGCACTGCTGCCACGCCGAACCTCTCTGCATTCCGAACCTGACGAACAGGTTCGGTACAAAAGGATGGACGTTCGTTATTTGGGGGGAAAGCGCCGGAGGGAGGGCGGAAATTTGGGTTGGAAAGGGGACCGTTTTCACATGGAAGAGTCTGGCTTGCTGACAGAATACGAACTGTATGTGCTCACCTTATCCCCTCTAAAAGTCTTTCCATAACGAATCAGCGCCACTGCGCCTTTCACCTGCTCCTCCCCAATCGCCGCCACCAGCTCTTCAAAATCTTCCATGCGCCCATAATTCGCATATACCACCGCCGCTCCTTCTGCTTTTCCCGCTCCTTCCCCCTCCGCCTCCTCCTCTCCCGCCCCCTTTCCGCTCACCCTCCCGCTGGCCTTCCCGCCGACCCTCCCGCTACCGGAATACGCGTTAAAAGGATCAGTGGCGGCGCGCGAGGCGCTAAACGGGTCGCCGTGGACGGGTTCCTCGCGCAGCGAGAAGTTGCGCGCGACGGGGCGCACGAGGCGGAGCGACTGGCGCAGCGGGTAGGAGAGCAGCACGGGGTAGTCCGCGTAGTGCGCGCGCAGCCCGTACGACTGCCGTGTGATGCGGGGAAGTGTGTGTGGGGAGGGAGAGAGGGGGCATGGGGGAAAGGGAGGGGGGGGAAGAGATGGTTGGGAAGGTGAGATGGACGAAAAGAGTTGATGGGATGTGAAATCCTATGGTGATGCGGGCACGTGACACGATGAGACTGAATGAAAATTTTACCCATAAAGTCTCGAATTCACACCTCGAATTTCTCCTTGACGTAACGAGCAGTTGCGAAGTTTTCGGGGGTGCCTGCGATGTGCGGCTTGGCGGTGAGCTCCCGAAGGTGCAACGCGAGGCTCTCATTGGACACGAGCGAAAAGAGCTTCGGCAGAAACCCGCAGCTCAACCCGCCCTCATCGCGACCGTCCACCGACGAACCGGCGTCGCGAGATTCGTAAGCGAGGCGCGAGAAGAAAAGAAAGGTGAATAACCCCAAGGTCAGCGCTAGCGGAACGTATGCGAAGGCTGTTCGCGGTCTGGCTGCGGTCTGCGGAAGCAACGATGAGCGATCCATAACGGCGTGACTACGACGCACGCAGGAACGGCGACAAGCGCTCTGAAATGAGAACGGAAGCGTGCAAATGGAAGAGTTGGGAAGAGGTAAGGGGGAATACAAGGCAAAGGAGCTCCTAGAATCTTCCGCCTTCGCTATTTCTTGGATTTGGAGGGTGGGCCAGAGAAGTGAATCCAGCAGACGAAGAATTCGGTTTGGTTTGCTGCTGCGAATGATTGAAGCCAAACGAAGGGGCATGGTTGTGTTGGCGATGTGACAGATGCTTTCGTGAGTACAATTTATGGCTGCGAAATCCATAGTAACCGTGCTATGTTGCCGCGCGAAAGGTGGATCTCCACGCATCTCGCAAAATCGCTTTGGTGCATGCCATGCTGGAGGATGAATTGCGGCGCGCGCTCCACGTGGGCACGTGGGCTGCCACGTGGTCTCCCTTGTTGTGAAGGTGGTGAAGAATGGTGAAGGACGAGAACCATGAAAAACACTGCGGTACAGCATATACAAACCATCCAGATCTCACTACCAAAATTGTATGTAGCTCCATACCGCGTATATCCGTAAGTTCCGCCGAATTACACCCTTCCTGTGCTAAGGCATAATTCCAACAGCTAATTTGGTTCCTGATTTAGGAACCGACTCCGCAACAGCTTCTCATTGTCCACGTGTCTCACCATCATGTCACTTGGCCTACAAACAGCCCCACTGCCGCCGTTCTTAAAATATGAGGGACAACCACAGCAAGTGCCAGACAGTCAAGGCACGGCGTTACCTGCGCTAGAGCAGCTTCCGCCTTTGCCGACTCCCTGTACGCGATTGGAAGTAGACCTTTATCGCCTGTTGCGATGCTGCGAGCGCATCGCACGGAGCCAATCAGCAGCCGAGCTGCAACGAGATTTCAAGTTCCACAACGTGGGTGAGATTGCGAGCGAGCCGTTGATTCATTTCACAGCTCTTCCGTTCACCGATATGTGCTCGTCACAGCTCCTTCGGTCACGGTTTTGTTTTTTTTTAGGCGACTTAAAAATCTTTCGGTCTAGAGTGGTCGATCACACACAGATGCCTTTCAGAATGCAGGCTGATTGCCTCGATTGCGTCCGGCTTTGCCTCTCAACTGGTGACCTAGCCTCCCATCCTTCTCTTCAAACCTTCCCGATTCCGCTCGTCAATCCCTATGCCAATCCCTATGCCAATCTCAATGCCAATCCCAATGCCAATCCCTATGCCAATCCCGCTCTCCCGCAGTACGTCGCGTATCTCCGCGAGCTCTTTGCGCAAGTGCAGCAGGAGTCAAGAGCCGACTCAGCAGGCCGGTCTGCAAGGTACAGTGCAGCTATCAGCAAGGGCAATAGCATTCTGTTTGCCGTTTTCGGGTTAAGAGGCGGCTTTTGAGAAGTCTCAATTTCGGGTTAAGAGACGACGTTTGAAGTGCCTCAAAAGAGCAGACACAGCAGGCCAGTCGGCAAGGTACAGTGCAGGTGTCAGCAAGCGCAACAGCATCCTGTTTGCAAGTCCTTTTCGTCAATCAGCTTCATGCTGTTTTCCCCACTTGCAGCTTGACTGTTTACTGTAGAGACAATCTGTGTTAGGCTGTTCGGTGGTCCCTTCCTCCAGTCCTACCCTGCTCCAGTCCTACCCTGCTCCAGTCCTACCCTGCTCCAGTCCTACCCTGCTCCAGTCCTACCCTGCTCCAGTCCTACCCTGCTCCAGTCCTACCCTGCTCCAGTCCTACCCTGCTCCAGTCCTACCCTGCTCCAGTCCTACCCTGCTCCAGTCCTACCCTGCTCCAGTTCTACCCTGCTCCAGTTATACCCTGCTCCAGTCCTACCCTGCTCCAGTCCTACCCTGCTCCATTCCTACCCTGCTCCAGTCCTACCCTGCTCCAGTCCTACCCTGCTCCAGTCCTACCCTGCTCCAGTCCTACCCTGCTCCAGTCCTACCCTGCTCCAGTCCTACCCTGCTCCAGTCCTAACCTGTTCCAGTCCCAGCTTACAAAACATTCCTTTCTATACAACGCACAATCATTTCCGGTTCCCTTGCCACTGCATTGCGTCCCTTTCTGCAGCCTCCCTGTTTCGGCAGCAGCGCAAGCCCAGGCGGCAAGGGCGGAGGCGTACCTTCAGCGAATCACTTTGTTGGCTGACTTGCTGGAAGAGCACGTGCTGGTAACGAGTTATATGATGTGTATGTTTCATGTGAATCGGATGACTCGTGTGATTCTTATGTATCGTACAAATCGGGTCTTTTGCAGTGTTTCTTTTGGTGGCATATAATATAACCCTTCTTACTGGATGACCATGTGCTGGCAGCTGACTAAGCTTCACTGATTAGTCTTGCGATTCCGTTGTGTGTTGTCACTTGCTTCCCGAATCACCAAACTGATGTCTTCCTGCACCTCATCTCACCAACCACAGCCTGACATGTGGCACATGCCGGACAGCCTGCCTCTTCAGGACGAATGCCAGCTGGACGCCTTGGTACCTCAAGATCCCAACCTATCATCAACCTTCAGAGGAATCAAGCCTGCTCAATCCCATCAGCAGCAGCAGGGAGAAATCGAAGGAGGTGCCTTGCGGGGCTATGTGCCATATTCTGCAGCCTTTGCGGGTGGGCAAGGCAGGGAGGCGTTGGGCCTTCGATCACGCCGCCGCCAGTTGAGGGGTCGGCATGGGTAGGTGCTAGGTGGTGGCCATGATCCGTGATGCCATGCCATGCATGCATTCATGCCTTCATTTTTTTTGCTAAGGCGATCCTTCACGCTGCAGCTCTTCTTCATGACCAGTGACCCGTGGCTAGGTGGTGGCCATGATCCGTGATGCCTGCCATGCATGCGTACATGCCTTCACTTTCTTTTTACTTCATGTAGGTTGTTGGTGCTTCAAAACCCATCGAATTGTTTTTCGGTGCCTTGTGCTGGTTGGTTGTATTTTGAGACGTCTCACAACTTCATCTATTCCTTTTGTGATGGCTTTCCACTGAACTCCGTAGCACTTTCCCATGCATGCATTGTTTGGTCTGTTGGGCAGGCCGACTTCCAGAGATCACCGACCAGGTTCTTCTCTCCCTGGGTCATCCCTGGACGATGCATCAAGAGCAATCATTACAACCCATAAGTAATGCTTTGTAATGTTCTTGCAGCATCACTTGCTTCTTCTCAGCTGATCTCCTTCAAACTTGCTTGCATATTCTCTCCGCAATTTCTACCCTGACCCTCCCCCTGCTTGCACTCCTATCTCGCTCGCTCTTCTCCACCTCGCCTCCCCCCTTTTCGTCCCCCCCCCCCCCCCCCCCCCCCCCCCCCCCCCCACCTCACTCCCCCCCCTCAACCCCTCCTCCGTTTCTCCTTTTCTTTCAACCTTCCTCACTTTCCTCTCGTTCTCCTCATGTTTGCTTCCTTTACCCACTCGTTGCTCCTTTCTGCCGACTCTCTTACCTTCCCTCGTCCCTCCAGGAACCTTCAGGAGGAGCTGTCGGATCAGATGCTGACGCTGGCAGGGCAGATGAAGGCCAACTCGCTCGCCATGGAGGAGAAAGTCAAAAGCTCCAATAAGGTGACACGCTGCTGCCATCTCATGGAGTAGTTCTGTTGTCTATGGTTGAGTTGAATGATTACAATGTACTTCAATTTGTTTTGTGCTGCTAATTATAGGGGTATTTATTTTGCTTTTACTGTTTTCATCGTCTTGTGCAGGTTCTTGATGCAACCGAGGAGTCAATGGAGAGAAACGTGGCCAGCCTGAGTCGGGCCAATCAGAGGGCTTCACGGTTGGCCCGGCAGGGATTTTGCACTGGCTTATCGACGTGGCTGGCCATGATCTTTCTTCTTGCCATGTTCGTTGGAATGATTATGTTCATCAGAATGACTTGATAGGTACATATGTATGGGACACTAGCTTTAATAAAGTTAACTGTATGAATTTATCGGTTGCTCATCCAGCAGCTCTAAGGGCATGTTCCTACGCTCTTATCAGGCAAACCTCTTGTCAGCCTTGCCTGGTAAAAGTAGCGAGGGTTGTTAGGTTAATGAAATTTTCAGTGTGTTTTGACGTGAGCTTGATAAGAGGTTGGCCTGATAAGGGGCCGTAGGAACATGCCCTAAGATCTGAACTGCATAACGAGTACGTAACGAGTTCATCTCTCGACAGCTTCCAGATACTTTATAGATGGTACACTCTGGTGCTTTCACCGTGAAAGCGATCAGCTATTATTTATTGATCAGTGTAAGGAAAATTCCTTTTCCTTACTTCGCATCCCTGCTCAACGCGTACACCACTGTAGCACCACAGTCAGCACCGTTACCACTCGCAACCCTCGCATCGACAATCCGCCCGCCACCTTCGCACATCGCACCCCGACCTCACGGCTCGGCGGGTAACCCGCGCTCCGGGCCTCCGCTTCGACACTTTTTCCCAACCTCAGTCCCAGGCCGTCGCGCGGCAACCACAGTCCATTACCGTTACCACTGTAGTTTCGCTATATATTCTTTGCTCATGCCTTCGCTCATTGTACTCTTGCTTCGATAGTGCAATTCTCGTTCTTTCACTCAATTGCACTCGTAACACTTGGTATTCAGAGCCTACGATCTCCTCTCGGACCGCACCCACACCTTCGCTTCCCCACTATCTCAGTTTTTTGGGGGGGTAGACGTTTGTCAGCGACACAGCACCGCCGCTCGTAGTGCTCTCTCGTAAGCACGCACGGCCACGACCGAGGCTCTCGCTGAGCTCGCCCGACACCCCCGCCATGGCCGAATTCACACTCGCCACATTGACGCAGGAGCAGCTCGACCGTCTGGTGCGCCAACTCGAAGATTCGGCGCTCGAAATTGCGACGCTCACGGCGGAACGTAACTCTGCGCGTCAGCAATCAACGACGAACACTCCAGCGCCACCACACGCATCGACAAATGCATCTGCACAATCAGACGAGCCGATCGTCATCTCGTCCGGCACACCAACACAAAACAACAGCGTGGGACAGCGCTCAGGCGCAGCCAGCGATGGCGCCGCCCAGCCGAAGCCTTGCATGGGAGGAAACAGGGTCGCACCAAGCCCGCGGGAGCCTCGCGAAGCCCGTCGGCACGTGGAGTTCGCGGCGACAAGTGGCGAACAGGCCATTATGGCACCAATGCCACTCAAGCCGCAACGCCCGCCGTGCTTCGACCCGAGCCAGCGTGGAGGTCCGACGGTTCAATCGTGGGTCTTCACGATGAACGTCTTCTTCGACGCGAATTACGTCGAGTCGGACGCAGCGAACATCTCGCACGAAATCATGCTACGCGGGCTCTCGAACTTCAACGAGATTCTCGCACTCGCCGAGAAAATCAACATTTTACGCCGTCCGAGACCGGGGTCCTACTTGTCAAATTATAATGTTGTCTAGGCTTTAGTGGGGTAGCCCATATGGGGTACACATTTCTAGGGTTGCATATTTGTATCACTTTCATTCCATAGTCATTCTCATTCTCGTTCTAATTTCCTCATGGTATCGAGCAGGTTCCCCCGTGGGAACGGTGCCTAGGGCCCACCACATCGAGTTTTTTTTTCCTGCCCGAAGCGCGCTCAGCCTGAGTCGCGCTCCGGGCTCTCACTTCGTCGAGCCGCCCTAGCGGCCCCAACGCCCTAGCGGCCCCGCAACCCGTCGATTCGGCCCCGCCGCCCTTCGTTGCGGCCCCGCAGCCCTTCACTGCGGCCCCGCCGCCCTTCACTGCGGCCCCGCCGCCCGTCTCAGTGGCCCCGCCGCCCTTTGCTGCGGCCCCGCCGCCTCTCTCGCTGCGGCCCCGCCGCCCTTCTCAGCGGCCCCGCCGCCCGTCTCAGCGGCCCCGCCGCCCTTCGCTGCGGCCCCGCCGCCCGTCTCAGCGGCCCCGCGGCCTCACATTGCAGCCCCGCCGCCCTTCCCTGCGGCCCCGCCGCCTCACACTGAGGCCCCGCTGCCCTTCGCTGCAGCCCCGCCGCCCGTCTCAGCGGCCCCGCCGCCCTTCACTGCGGCCCCGCCGCCTCTCTCGCTGCGGCCCCGCCGCCCTTCTCAGCGGCCCCGCCGCCTCTCTCACTGTGGCCCCGCCGCCCTTCTCAGCGGCCCTGCCGCCCTTCACGACAGCCCCGCCGCCCTTCACTCCGGGCCCACCGCCCCTCCCACTGCGGCCCCGCCACCTACCTTGCAGCCCCGCCGCCCTACCAGCGGCCCTACCGCCCTACACCGCCCGCGCCGCCTGAGCCGCCCGAGCCGTCCGAGCCGCCCGAGCCGCCTGAGCCGCTGAGGAGCCGAGCCGCCCGAGCCGCCTGAGCCGCCCGACCTGCCCAAGCCGCCCGAGCCGCCTCAGCCGCTGAGGAGCCGAGCCGCCCGAGCCGCCCGGCCCGCCCGAGCCGCCTGAGCCGCCTAAGGAGCCGAGCCGATGGTGCCGCGGAGCCGCAGTTGCTGCTGAGTCGTCCGAGCAGCCGTATTGCCGTGTTGCTGTGCTACTGAGCTGCCCGAACCGCCCTGTCTGGTGAGAGCAGCGCTTCTGTCACTGCACTGCCCCTGTCCTACAGTTTGGTACTGCTAGTCTACTGTTGTCATGGCTACCCCTAGTGTCCTCGCGTTTGATGCTGAGGGTAGAGCCATTGACTTTGAGGTCTGGGTCGACGACCTGCAGCTGTTCTTACAGTGCGATAGGGCAGACGGTCTCTCTCTCTTTGACCTCACCTCTGGCGCCTCTCCTGCCCCTGCTGCTGATGCTGACCCCACTGTTCGCTCCCAGTGGGCCACGCGCGATGCTGCTGCACGTCTTGCTGTGCGTCGCCACCTACCTACCACTGAGCGCGCGCACTTTAGTCAATACAAGAGTGCTCAGACCTTGTACGACGCTGTTGTTGCGCGCTACTCTTCCCCTGCCACTGCTGCACTGAGCCGCCTCATGCTACCGTACCTCTTCCCTGACCTTGCTGCCTTTCCCACTCTCGCTGACCTCATTACGCACCTCCGCACTAGTGACACTCGATACCGCACCGCGCTTTCTGCTGACTTCTGCGCCAAGAACCCCCCCCCCATGTACATCACTCTCTATTATATAGTCACCCGCCTCCCTGACTCCCTTCGTGTAGTCAGGGACCACTTCCTCTCAGTCTGTCCCACCGCTCTCACTGTTGACCTCTTAGAGAAGGCCCTCCTAGCAGCGGAAAAGAGCATTGTCGCTGTAGGAGCCTCTCGTGGTGACCCTCGCACCCCCATCTTTGAGGGGTGTTCTCCTTCCCCCCTTTTGCCCTCTGTCGCCTCTACCGCTGCGGCCGACCTCGTTGGTCTTGAGTCGGTCGGTGCGGCGTCTGCCCCTAGCGGGAGACGCCGCTCTGACAAGGGCAAGGGGGGCAAGGGCGCGGGTGGAGCTAGCGGGGGCGGTGGAGGTGGAGGTGGAGGCGGCGGAGGGAGTGGGGGTGGCGGTGGGAGTGGTGGCGGGGGTGGAGGTGTCGGTGGCAGCAGTGGAGGCGGAGGCGGCGGCGGTGCTAGCGGAGGCGGCGGTGGTGGCGGAGGTGGAGGAGGCCGTGGTGGAGGAGGTGGAGGTGGTCGGGGTGGCGCTTCGCAGCGGAGCAGCCCTGGTGGTGGTCAGCGCCAGCAGCAGCAGCAGCAGCAGCGTTCTCGGGACATTCCCCCCCCTCAGCAGCTCCGTGAGTGGTACGCGCAACGTCAGCGTGGTGGGGGTTTTGGTCCGTGCACCTACGTCCTTCGCTCCGGCGACCGCGCGGGTGAGCAGTGTGGGGGTACCCACACCACCCAGCGCTGCTTTGGCCGCCTGACGGACACTTGGCGTCACCAGTTCCCTGAGGCCACTGAGATCCCCCGCTGGGGAGAGCTGTCTAGGGCAGGCGTAGCTATCTATGATCTTGACTTTGATGCTATCCTTGCTGCCATGTATGCTGTGACTATTAGTGATGAGGGTGACTGTTACCGGTGTTTCCCGCCCGACCCGGGCATTGCGATTGCTGCTCTAGGTGCTGGTGAGGCTGCTGCTCTAGGTGCCAGTGCGTCTGCGCCCTCAGGTGCTGGTGAGTCTGCGCTCTCAGGTACCACGTCGGCTTCGGCCTCCCTCACCTTCACACTTGACTCAGGGGCTTCTCGCTCCTTCTTTCGAGACCGCACCACACTCACGCCGCTTGGTCGGTCGGTTGCAGTCTCCCTGGCAGACCCCTCTAGGGGTCCTGTCCTCTCTCACTTCTCCACTGTCCTCCCGTGTCCGGCTGCCCCCTCTGGCACCTTGTCTGGTCTTTACCTCCCCTTGTTCTCTACAAACTTGGTGAGTGGTGCTGACCTGCAGGATGTGGGGGTTCACCAGTTTACTCCTGCGAGTCAGCGGGTGACCCACTGCTTGGACGCTCGCACAGGCCGGCACCTGGCCACGTTTACTCGTCGGCCGGGGTCGAGCCTCTACACCCTGACCACTGGGTCTCCTCCTGTCCCTGCGTCTAGCCAGGTAGCTGCGTCGGGTCAAGTGTTTGCTGCAGCGTCCAGGTCTGGTCCTGAGTCTGCCCCCTGCTCGTGTCGCCTCCTGTCTCACGAGACTCTCCTGTGGCACCACCGTCTTGGTCACCCCTCCTTGCCTCGTCTCCGAGGC